CCGCAGCATCATGGACCTCTTCCTTCACATCGACCTGCAGCTGTCAGTCAGGTCACGATCTAGTGAAGCAGTGTGCACTGACGGTAAAGCCGGAGTACAGCGGCATGATGGCGCTGAGGTACGCGCGATATTCAGCGTTGCTCTTGGCAGCCCGGTTCATAGAGGCCGGTAGCACACGGTGCTTGCAATCGGGCGACCGATAGGCCATGATGTCGTCGATGTCCCAGGCATTGTAGGCTTCTATGACCGCCCAAGCTGTATCTTGCTGAGCCGCCAGACTGCAAGTGTTAGGAGTGTAGCAAGAATGTGCCAACGTCTTGGCGAGTACCAATTTCACGTTGTGGAGGGTGTGCTTGTGATATGGACGTACTTCGGCAGGGGGATGGTGCTGGCATTGGTGAGACATTGACTCAAGTTCAAGCCGACCCAGACATCGCTCGACCTCGATTTGGTGCTTGCAAGCGGCTGAGAAGCGGCACAGAGGGATAGAGTAGTAGCAACAAGGTTAACGAGCTTCATGATGGCTGGCGTGCGCGACTGAACGAACGATACAAAAGTGCACCCAGATTCTGTAGCAGACGGCCTGTTATATGAGCCGCATGAGCCGCACCAGTGACGGGGCGTATGATTGCCGCGACTCATCGCGTCGCTATGCCTTCTAGTTTGCTACTTCGCGTTCACCATCTTGCCGTGTCTCCGTCATCTTTCCGTCGCACGAGGAAGTCGGGCCACTATCTCACCCACGGCATGGTTGTGAAGACGCTGACGGTGCTACCATTCCTTGCCAGATGATGATTGTCCTAGTCGAGACCGGGTTGAGGGTAGACTGCTTAGGCGCGATGCCGTCCCTGACGATGGAGGTCTGCATCGCTGGTTGCGTTGACTGTAAGCAGGGTCAGCAGCCCCACCTACGACAGCCTCACGTACAGAATGCGCGGGTTCCAATGTATCATTCTGAGAGCTTTCTACTTCAAGCACTTCGATACTTGTGTTCTGACGGCTATCAGATAGGCTGTGCCATCGCTGGCAGCGCCGATGGTAGCGTTGGTGAGGCGATCGAATGGTGCCGGTACCACCCGTACGAAGAGGGTATCGATCCAGAGCTTGAAGGTGTTATGACTACTCTTGTGGACCAAGAGCGGCCGCTCGAGAGCAGTGTAAGAAGACTACACGCAAAGAAATGGAAGGATTATCTTCAAGCCGCCGAGGACGACCTTCCAAAGTCTATCTACGACATGCTCCCACCATGTGAGATCCCTTGGGTCACCAAAGTGACCACTGCAAATAGGCCTGACGGAGAGACTGATGGCGAAGAGATTGATGGCGGAGAGACTTATGACGGAGAGACTTATGACGGAGAGACTTATGACGGAGAGACTTATCACGAAGAGATTGATGGCGAAGACATTGATGAAGGATGAGGTAGGACACCCTCATGAATGCGGAGTAACTAATAGGCCCTCCGCACCGACGGGAGGCAGCTCTTCGTTTTCTCACGCAGAAGTGCAGATGCTTCCCCCCAGCCCTGCGTCTTTCTATATCCCTGTTGATAATAATCTTGGTTTTTGCAACGAGGGAGGTAAAGATTGTCATACCCCTACCTTCTTGCATTGCTTTGACCAGACGGTGCAAGACTCACCCGTAGCACAAACGCATATCGTTTCATATAGCGGTGTCGGCATCGGTCCGACAACCGCCGCAGGAAGTTTTCCGTGCTATGACCTTTCAGCGAGCAAATCTCGTTCTCTAGAGCTGGACATGGCTGGACAAGTTCGACAAGCCCAGCAAGTAGAGGACGTGAGGGAGTTGGAGGCGGAGTGCGACAGGCTGGATACCGATTGCGGCAAGCTGGAAGTAGAACTGCACAAGATGCGGACAACACTTGTCCAAGCGCAAGTTAGGTTCATGGAAGAGACAGTCAAGCGCGAGGATTTCTCGGTCCATCCGCGTTGCCCTGTCCTTGCACAGACACAGACTCATTCCACATTATCACCAATGCAGGTGCTCGATGCTGCTGTGTCTTACTTGCCTAGTCACTACGTTACAGCGGCAGCTGTAGTACGTAGTATTCCCAGAAAAAGGCGGCATCCTGAATCCGATGATGATGATGATGATGATGATAATGATGCTGCGCATGCGCCGAAAAGAAGGCGCTGCGGTTAGGACATATGATTGTAACAGGAACGAATTGGATGCCAACTTGCTCCACACTGACAACTGCATCCAGCTCGAGAAAGAAACAAGGCGTGCATCGCCTCAAGTGAGTCCGCGACAATGCAGCGTGTTCTTCGATGTTGCAGTATCAGCGTGAAAATGATTGAGCGAGAATAGCAGGGGCTCCAACTGGACGTGGGTGGTAGCAGATGAGCACTTGTATCCTGACACAGGTGATCTATCTTGATCCCGCTATAAAGAATGGACAAGTATAGCAGAAGATCACGATGGTCTCGTGTAGATGTCGCGTGATCCGTCTCTCCTCTGCGCCTCCGATATGCTTTTATCCCTGCACAAGCCCATAGTTATGGTTGACGTGACGTGTCGTACGTGGACTGTGTGATGCGCGCTATGGCATACCCAAGCGGCAGACAATGCGAGAGCGGCGTACAGCCATTATACAGATAGCCTAGCAGAAGCGTGGTCCCGAGTCTCTGCCAGAAGGCGTTCGACGGCACGTAATATGCATGCTGAGGTGTCAGCGGTACAACGACAAACTGCTTACGCTAGTTGCGAGTACTGCAACTTTCTGACGGCCGCTTCGATGCCATAACCCGCTGCAGGCTGCCCTTTCGTGTCGGCACTCACAATCGAGAGAGGATACTGCCCCGCGTTCATGAGGAGTCGAAGAGGATGCGAATGGCCTGTGTGGCTCAAGCCAACCCTCAAACTGCCAAGTCGAATACTGTTCTGGTTTCTTTGTCTCGTAGCGTTCGTGAGTTTTGCGACGTCTTCCATGCTGTATTGGATGTCCGCTGGCTCCGCTGTTCGATTCGTGTCGGCTCTTTGCGCTGTATTCGCGACAACAGCCGTGCAAAAGTTTGTCGTGCTGGAGTTCGTAGTAATCCTTCTCAAACGCAAGCGCGAAACCTCCGCTGTCGTCCTAGAGACGGTTCTTAGGTGAGTGGTTGCCCTTTGGCGCTTTGAAGTCGATGTTCATGCAGCCAGCAACTGGACGGAGAGTGCCCTGGCCGTGGTAGCAGCTTGGACTGGTCAGAACGTCCTAGGTCCGACTTTCCTGGTGGGTGCAACCACCATCAATCAGCTTGTCCTCCTCGGAGCATGTTTCATACATGGCGGCCATCACAGCGGAGCGACCAGCTACCCAAAGCTCATGGCATCGATACACGCACGGGCGCTGCCTGCAGGCTTGGCCTTGTTGGCATACGCTGCCGTTTCTAATGCAGGATCAGAAGGTAAAGAGTGCATCTCATCGGCCAGTCGTAGACGCTTACCCTGCTTCACAGTATCTAGCGAGAAAAGGCCGCGCGTCTACTGCATCACCGCCATATTGCTCTTGCTGTATTTCGCAGGCCACGTTTTCTTCGTGTGCCGGCTGCACTCCAACATCTCGTTGGCGGTGAGCGGTTTGCTATCGCCCAGCGATCCCAACATGAGCGTCAACTGCCGAAACAGCGACCTGTTGCCTAACAGCTTCTCCGGAAGGATCGGCGTCTCCCAGATTTGGCACCTTCGAGATGAGAAAGAGGCGTGGCTTCGTGGATGGCTGAGCCTAGATTCAGACTCTGAGAAAGGACAGCCCTCGGACAGCGCCATTGCGGTACTGACACTCTTGCTTTCTTGTATTGCAACCCTTTTCTTGGGCGCTCAGTTTGTCAACACGCTGGCGGCTGAGGACACGGGCAGTTGGCAATCTCCGCTGCATGCGGGTTACATCCTCCTTCCGCTCTCCACGAGTGCAGCTGGGCTGATCGCAGTTCAGCTCCACGGCTGTGGTTGCACGTCCGCCGTATTCCACGGCCAAGCATTGTTCGCATCCGTCCTGTCGACGTTCCACCTGCTTTGTTTCACCCTACCCGTCTTCGTTCTGACCAGGTGGGCCACTGCTCCTGGACCCAGCCTCGAGTTTTTTGATGTACACCAGCTGGGGCTTCTTGCTATCGCCTCGCTCCTTCCTCTGTACCCAATGCAGAGAGGCAGTGATGACTGGTATGTTTGTAGCCACCTACGTAAGCGCAAGCTAACCTTCGTCCCAGGCACATGGGCGTGGCCTTGCTATTCCTCTACGTACTTTATGTGAGTTGCTTCTGGTGATTGCGATGATCTGTGCGCTGCTGGGGCTTCGTCGCGTCAGTACAGCTGGAGCGATAGGGTGGACGTCGTATGGGAAGTAGCATGCGTGCTCATGAGCCTTGGGAGTTCAGAGGTAGGCGAGTTTGCAAAGTGGTTTTTGCAAGCGCTGGGAAGTTTCATGCTTGGATGCAATGACTCAATACTGCGCTTTGACGCAATAGAATGCGCGCATGCCAATGATTCATTACTGCCTACCTCTTGACTGATTTTGCAGCTGCCGGCACGCACAGACTTCTTGCTGCTTGTACCAGCTTCTGCACCGCCCTTACGTCCGTCCCTGTGAGGCGAAATCGCCGTGACCCGAAAACAGCTCATGGGGCACAGCACGGTACTGGGATACATTTGCACTTCTGCTCTCGCTTGCCATTATCGGATCACCTGGTTTTACGCTGCACAGCGATAGCCGTTACGTGAACACAAGTGACTGCCCCGGCACGCTCAAGATGTCAGGCAGTGTGGAACCAATTCTCGACCTGCGTATCCACTTACAGGTATAGCGTAACAGTCTCACTGATGCTTTGCGACAGTCACATCAAGAAGACGGATTACACACGATCAGCAATCAGACAAGTAGTTTCTACACAGACATGCGGCCTAGCTACAGACTATGAACGATGGAAAACAGCGCAAGTACGGCATACGCCTAATCTGGTTACGAAGGTGAGAAGCTGCGATAAGCGCCTGGGGAACACTACGGCTCAGAGCTGACCACGACAGGACCTGCCAGTGTAGCAGCTTTCAGATCAGCGATGCTGATGAGTTTTGGCTGCGTTGCTAGCACTGCAAAGGCCGTGCCCGATAGGCTAGGTGGTACCATCGTGCTTCCGGAATTCTCGTCGAACAGGGTCAGGGCAGTGAAGACGGGCTGGGCGACCTGATTCACCCAAGCCACGAACACCTGGCTGCCCAACTGCGCAACGGCATACTTAGCAGCAGCGTCCCATTCCACGCTGACATTGGTGCCCGGACGCACATGGCCAGAAGTCTTCTTGTTTATCGAGAGCTTCGGCAATATGGGAAGCGGCAGCTCTACGCTGCAAGAGCCTGGCTGGGCATACTCCAGCGCGAAGTTGTAGGCCCACGCCGGAGTCGCAGGCGTGTCGAAAGACTGTCCGCTCGCGTTGCGGTGCGAATGTTCGCCGAGAAGCGCAATATGCTTGGCGTCGACGCTGGCGATGCTGGACAACAAGATGGCGACCGGCCCGTCCGCTGCCTCCGCCATCGACATGAAGACGCCGAGGTTGATGGAGTTCAAAGTGACCATGAGAAAGCTGAGCTCGGTCACGTTGCTGGGCAGATCGTATTGACAGGAAGGCACGTCTGGATTTCCCGACCGGCGGAGCAGGCTCCGTAGGGTCCGCAACTGCGTCTGCTCTTGCTGTTCAGAACGCACACGTCAGCAGAGGTTCTCTTGCACAGCGAACGAGCAGCACTACTTACCACAGCGATCTCCGCCACCAGGCTGGCCAGACCCTCTGTATCGCCCCTCGCGCTCGGCGAACGCGGTTCCACTACCCTACTCTCGTTAAACACCCAGACACCCAGGTTTTTCAGCACGAGCGCCAACTGAAGGGCATCGACGGACGACGGAGACAGACTGACCGTGCTGTTCTCCTGGCTCGCGTCCGGTCCAAGCAACGCCCCTGTGGGTCTGTACAGTCCCGCAGAGGCAGAGGCCTGCCCGCCCGTCATAGATGTGGGCTTACTACCGAGATCTGTCTGTGCGAGTGTGGTACCACCTGGCGAGAACCCAGCGACGCTGCTCATCCCAGGGGCATTGCTAGTAGCGGTTGTGGCGATAGGAGCGCCAGATCCCCCAATACCAGTAGAAAGGCCGGTGGGTGGAGTGGAAGAGGCAGCATCGTTGACGAGTTGACCACTGTCACTTATGTCACCCGCACCGGGACCCGCGGTGGGTTGGCCGTTGTCACTTATATCACTCACACTGGGGCTTTCGGCGGGCTGACCATCGTCACTTATATCACTCGCACTGGGGTTTATGGTGGGTTGACCAGAGCTGACGAATGGGCCGGCACTGCCGTCTGCAGCCGAAGTAGGAACTGCGGTCACGGCGGAGCTGCTGGTCTCTAGCACGGAACCCATGGCCTGTGTCCCATCACTCGCAGCGGAGGCAAGAGAGCTGGGTACGGCTGCGCCTGGGGTAAGAGCAGGACTAAGGGACCCGGCGGCACTCTCTGCGCGAGTTTCTGTGGCATCGGGAAGAGGCGGTGCGTCCGTGAGCCTCGACACAGCTGTTGAGTTTGCAGGCCCACCAGGACTACCTGTCGACAGTCCTGTAGGACTTGCCCCGCTCACGTTCAAGGTCAAGGGGGCGGTAGTGAGCGTGATGCCGCTGTACATCATCGTGACCGACGGCTGTAGGCTATTCGTAGAAAAGGGAGCTCCTGATTTGGGAAAGCAATACTGCTCAACGACGGACGCCGCAGACGCATTTCCAGACTGGGCTTCGCTACGACTCCACAGAGCGCTGGAAGCGAGCAGAAGAAGCGGTATCATCATGATGGGGGATGAGCTTGCGTGCTCGGCCAGGGGCGGCGACAGTCTCATATAGCTGGCCCTGTGCTCATGACCATCTATACGCGTCAGCTGTTCGCTGCTGGACTGATGACACCTGCGCCTACGTCCCGCTCACTCTCTGCAATGCCGCTTACCGGTGATGCAGGCCACTCTCAGCCGAATAGCAGAATGTACTCACACAGCCTACGATGCGGTCTTGCGGCTGCGTAGCGGCGCCGCAGCAAACGAGAGGGAGCACGACTATCGAACGCTTCGCACGGCGTGTCGCTCACTAGACGCACTCGTACCTCCCACTCGGCAACCACCCGGATCGCGGCACGACGGACTTGGTATGCTGCTCGCGTGTGCTTCTCACGTGCTGTGTGCAGTGTATCCTCGCGAAGCAGACACACATTGGCAGCAGTATGTGGCCTGACAAGGCGACGGGTTCTAGCAGCTGAGAACCTCTACACGCAGGTTCATACGAACCTTCGAGAGGCTACAAGGATGGGCGCTCCGGTGATCGCCGTAACACTATGGATAGTAGGGGCGACTTTGAATTGTTCGATTCCAGCGCCGCTTGCATGCGTGTAGCATTCTGTGTTCGTCCTTCGACACTCGCTCGCACGAATCATGAGTGATGCATGAGCGCGACAACTACCCTGCGTCGCAGGCATTCCTGTTGTGCGGGTCGCAGGCTTTTCCACCTTCAGAAAGTAGCACTCGGCATTCATCGCGCCTGTCAGCGAAGGTTTGGCTATAACTCGGTTCGTTCAAGCCGAAGAGCACGTGCATCATGCTAGCAGCGCAGGCAGGCTTAAGCACAATCGTGCGGGGTGGTGTTCTCGTGTTCACAATTTTCGACCCGCAGCAATCGCGACTGATGGGTGCACAAATGCAAACCCAACGAAGGCTCGCACGTGACGTCACGAGGGTCTTTGCAGGCGTTCGTCAACCTCATTGTTCACGCCTGGAACGACTGACTGGCCTGAGCGACGGACCAATGCATGGAGCTCACACAATGCGCGCTGTTCGCACATCTCCAAAAGATCTGCCCATCCTTCACAAGCTGGCGATCCAATTACCCGCGGCAATGTGGCTGTGATCCTGATGTGCATGCCAGCGAGGCGTAAGCGTAATTAAAGCGGAAGAACCTGGCGTGGATCCGAACTTGGCGCAGACATTGCAACGATGCGGCGCAGCATCCTGATGACGCTGATGGCGATCAGGAGGATGAAGGTAATGATCGCTCACAGGGGTTATCTTGGCGTGCTGGCGCGTCTGTTCTCCCGTCGGTCACTGGCGTTTGTTCCAAGACAAGCAAGTGAGCCGCGCGCTACGACAGCCACTCGTATGCCGTGCGAGGGAAATGAGATATGGGTCGTGCACCACATCTTCCCCGGAACTGCCGAGGCGACGTGCCCCAGACCTCGAGGCAGAGTTGCCAAGAATATCTGCAAACAATTGTTCCGCGCCCTCGCAGTTTACTGTAGTAGACAACAGCGTGCACAGTCTGTATGCAACCCCGCCAAATCGGTTCCTATTCCCGAGTGCTGCACCAACGTCCATCCAGATCTGATTCATGTCCCGCCTCTCGGATCAGACGCCGTCATACGTGCGCTGCGATCGGCTCTTCATACTCGTCACTCGATGGTGCGAGACTGCTGCGCCGCAAAGGTGCAGAATATGACGCGACGGCGGCTCCAAGTGCTGCAATGAAGGCATCGCCCTGGCCTGTGCCCGCCTCTCACCGAGGCCTGAAAAGCAGGACCGACAGGCTCGCTGCAATTGCTGACGGGGGAGAGACATTGGGAGGGACATACTCGTTCAACGCTGACGCGCCCATCACTGGACTACTGTTCGTCGTGGCCGACGTCGAAGTGGCGTAAGCAGGGCGTTCGGCTGAGATGTGCGGATCGCCCGCCTTTGCGCGCGGCAAACGCCCGTGGGAGATGCGACATCCTTGGAAGAGATCATTCATGTGGCCGTTGATGCATGCGCGCGTGTGTAGGGTTGTGGGTCCACACTGTAAGAGCATCCACCCTGCAAGCGTAAGACATGTCACCTCGCCTCGTATCCGTCTGAACGCAAGAGAGAAATTTCACGCAGCCTACGCATGCAGGCATCATTTACAGCAGTCACGTCCGAAGTGGTAGCAATACAGTCCCGGAGGCTGGCGATGATTGTGGTCCGGCAAGCATCCGCGGAGCTTTGGCCCTGCTGCTCCCCAACGTACGCGCGAGCCTCGTCTCTCCTGCATCCCGTAGCGGGCGAACTGCTGCGCGGGTTAGAGAGGCTGATACTCCTGCACTGGAGTGTTCCCCAAGTCGTCAAAGGACCCTAGGTGTATGCTCTCGCAGTCTGCCGATGCGAAGCCATTATCGAAGCCACCTTTGCGTCAGCTCCTGGGTGCCTCGTGAACATGATGCTCACGCTTCGTCTATGGCCGGAAAGGCCAGGCATCCTCGTAGAGCATCTGGCGCTGCGCTCTCTTCCATGCGTAACCATCGACGGTCTTTGATTCTGATGACTGTCATGCACGTTACACGCTTGCCCTCTCTAGACCATTCCCCATGTCGCTTGGAAATCCGCTATCGAGTGTACAGACGTACCCACATCGTGCCCCAACATTCCCCGTTGTAGAAGAAGGTGCCTGATATGGTGCGACGGCACGGTCGACGCGACAAGGGTGGCAGCACAAATATCCAGCTCTTATGCTGTTCGGTCATCGCCTTCGTTGTTGTCAGATACCACCATGGATTCTTACCATCATGACTCCTTTCCCCCTCTGGATCCATCGTACTATCACGAGCCCGGATTTCTCAATAGCGGTACCACCAACCTCGATCAACAGAGGTCCCCTATCGGTAATCGTAATGTCATAGCACCACCGTCAGGGTCAGCAGCGAGTCCCTAGTCTATGTGGCATGTGTGAAGTCAAAGATAGTAGCTGACCTGTATACAGCGATTTGCCGGGGAATGACCCGCAAAACTCGAACGCAGACGAACCAATGCAACGAGTGGTAGAACTGTTGAAGCAAACAGTGCCGATGCACATCTCCGAAGAAAAGCTGTTGCGAGAGGTGAAGAAAGCACAGGAGGAGTTGGAGAGGAAACAGGAAGATCTGAAGAGAGGACAGGAAGAGCTGAAGAGAGGACAGGAAGAGCTGAAGAGAGGACAGGAAGCGTCGATGAGGGTACAGGGTCAGATGAGCGAGACGATGAGTGACATCCTGGCCATTGGAAAAAAGACAGCTCATCGCAGCGACTACGCATCGTTTCGCGGCTCGAGATCTCGCTTGGAATATGCACCTCACAGTGAGCCTGCACTGCCAGATCAGCGACGAACGATTCATCTGCGGTACGTCCACGTCTTTTGGGTATGTCAGCGGACCGCTTATCTTCAACCACCAGGCCCGACGAGCTGTTGGAGATAACGAACCAAGTGCGATCCCAATTAGCAAACCCATCACAGAGCTATTATCCGTAGCGGTCATAGGGTACTGCACGGCACTACGCCGTGTGGTGTGGTGTTTTCGCTGCGGGTTCCCGTGATGGAGGCAGCGCTCCAGAATAACGAAAATCCGGGCGAACAGAGTGCGCTTGGAGCTAGCAGTCGGGAATTCACTTCGTCGGCGTATCAGGGCGAAGAGGCAGATTTTTCACGCAGGGCAAAGAGGATGGTGCGCTCGTTAGATTGCTACTGAACCAGTATCTACACATGCATCTTCAGATTCATTACAGTGTCCATATCGCCTGTCTCCTCGCTCTATCCAGCTGCGCACTCAGGAACTTGATTTCCGTCAAAGGTGTACACTGGGCACGGTGTCTATGTATCTGTTCAGTGAGAGACCGAATCGTATCCGCCGTAATGTCGTGTGCTCTAGCCGAAGCTGCAGTCAGTTCATGCGGATGGTACTGGATGCTCGGGACAATGCGGGCATCTCGCTGCACAGGAGTCGCTTCGGTCTTGTGTACGCGGCCAACGAGATCTCTGAATTTGAGGTCGATGCGCGTAATCGGATCCTGCAAAGACTTCTGAACGTAGGGGTCTTTGACGCTGACCAGGAGTCCGTCAATGGCTTGTTCAATGCAAGCCATGCGTTCCAGCGGGGTGGGCGGTGCGTTAGGACGATCTGGCACCCTTCTTTCGTCTTGGACACTCTCCACTCCGCTCGAGGCTTCTTGCGCGCTTGCATCCGGAGGCCCGACTGCAGTCGGTGCTTCTTCGTCCATCTCGTTTCTCATCGTGATGTCTGACGGAGAAGCCTGTGAAGCCCGTTTCTGTTGCTTCAGTTTGCTGTCTGGAAGTCAGAAGGCGCTTGAGCTACGGTTGGCGGGCTAGCGCTAACTACTTACTCTCTATATTTTCTCTGTGCTTCTTTGTTGGACCTCCTACGCGCTTGCTTAGCATCCGCCGGGTCGTCGTACTTTCTGTTCGCCATGAGTAGACTGCAATACACTCAGCGTAATGCGACGTTACCGCGTATGATAACCACCATCTATCTACACAGCAGACCAAGTAACAGAGTAACATCCGTAGCCATCCTGAGCCGTACGCATAAGCAGTTTGTATCGTCATCACACTACCAGCCGGGTCGTGGAAATGTTCAAGGGTAGTGGGTCTCGAGCATTAGCATAGCGGGCCATCACATGGTCAGCATTTTGATGGACGAGAAGATGCTGAGCCGTAAGCATAAGCAGTTTGCATTACTGCTACAATTCCACCCCAGCTGCGATGTGTGGACCTCCAAGTAGAGTGGGTCTCAACGTCCCGAACATTTGGGAGACGCTAGCGAGGTAAGTACAGACAATCCCAGTAGTTCCTGCAGGCCCCGTTAGTCACAGGAAAGTACCAGAGACAGTGCCTGCCGCACGCAGATGCTCTCACTGCCGGTCAGGTAATATGCTGAAGTTCTGCGAGGCAAGCGTCTTCCGTGCCCACCGCCGCTTAGCCCGTGCAACCACGATAGACTCGTTTACTATGCATTAATGATTGTTAGAATAAGCTTTCGATTTTTTGTTTTGATGGGCCTTCAGCAGACACCTGTCCAATCTTCCCCCCGTAATGGCTCTGGGAGTTGTAGTCACTAACGCAACTTTCCACTGGATAGAGAGCCTTTTGTGACTGTCTCTCGCCTAGTTGGCTGCATAGTTCTAAGTCGTGGATACATTGCTGGTAGCACAGGCTTTGTGGAGGGGTGGTCGTCGAGATTGCCTGGAATCTCACGGGTCTATAGCGCGGACAGACAAGTATCTAGAGATGGTGCCAAAGCCGTATCCCACGGCATAGCGGCCACACACACAAAATGTGCCCTAGTGCGGCACATCTCGAGCACGTTCAGACATACGGATCGCAAAGGAGCACAACGTCGAGCGGATGTCAAGCAGCGCACCACATTCTACCCATCACCGTCCTCTCGGGTCCGCGAACCGCTGCGACGAGTGTGTGTTCGCCCTCTGTGTGGACGTATGATTCGCACTGTCTGAAAGAGACACACGCAGCCACTGGTGTGAACACGCGCGATGCAGAGGCATAGCATGGTGTTTCGCCAGAACGGACCTGTCGTGGGTATGGGGGGCATGCATGATCAACAGACTCTGCAGCAGGAAACTGCAATGCTAAAACACTGGGCTCACTCTCCATTACTTCGGTGTCCATTCCTATAACGCGTCAGCAGAACCGTGGGACGACAACTGGACGGTCCGCTACTCGCAAAGCTGTCAGCTCTGTAGAAGCACGCTGACCAAATGGACCCATGCAGTAGAGATCCATCCTGGGAATGTTTGTGACTGCACGATAAGCCTGTTATAAGACTTGTCTTCGGTGTGTGCCGCTCTCTGCACACCAGCTTTTCTTCTACTGCGTGGCACGTCCCAGCAATCCACGCTCCTCAAGTTCCTTGCTCATCCCACTGCAGGGCCCAAGCACGCAGTGCAACACGCAGCATGTCGAACCGACTACGATCCAAATCCCGATTCAAATCTCCTCCGCCTACTCCGCGGACGGTAGCAGATAGGCTGCTTCGCTCGCTCAAAGAGCTTGGATGGCCCGTAGTGTGGGCTTTGGAAGACATGCTTCACGACATGTCTACTCTCCACCGGATTCTCTTCTGCTATCTGGGGGTAGTGACCATGGTTGTTGAATGGCTGCGACTGGACCGTGCAGACACCCTTCTCTCTATCTCGCTGGGAGTGGTCAAGCTGGCCGTTGTAGTCGACTGCATCTTGGTCGTCACGCATCACCTGACGCGTCTGTCGGCATCGAACCGGATGCTGGCGATTGCGGTGTACCAAATACCTTTCGTTACCGGGCCGCTCTCGGAGTTTGAGCTTACCAGGCTGATACTCACAGACAATGCGACGTCGGCGGCGAACACCTTCCTGGTTGGATGTGTGTATGTGAAGCCTCTGGTAGCAGGCGCACTTTGCCTTGTCCTCCATGGCCTGCACACTGGAGGGTCCGGGGTGCAGCGACAAGCTACCGATTTGTTGGATGTATCCAAAGTCTTTCTACGGAGTGGGCCCTTGATGGTACTGTCCACATACAGACTGGGGCTTGAGTCGCTGCCGATGCTCACAGCTGCTGCGGGAGACAGCCCGTGGCTGTCCCGGGGGGTCCCTGTCCTCCTCCTCCTATCCATCGGCTTCACCTGCTACTTCTGGTACTGGCATACTGACAAGTATCGTACCATCGCAAGCAAGAAGTACAACACTTGCAACGACAGTGAATGGGTGGTGCTGCTAGTCTGCTTGGTGGCGCTCAAGGTAGGAGCCGCTCGTCTGGTGCACAGCGTCTGGAACCAGATGCAGGCCACTGCATGGACAGCGGGCCAAGACAGTACGTGGGAGGCTAGCGGCGCTGTGGTCCAGTTTGCTGTTCTTCCGCTTGCGGTAACGGCCGTGGACCACCTCGCAGACATCAGCGCTGCCTATCGAGGGGACATTGCTTGGCCGTGGGCGAGTCTCTGTCAGTCCACACTGCAGACGTTTTTTTTCATCAGGCCGCTGTTCACACTCGCGGGCCATAATCTGGACCCTCGGAGTGGTCGCGTCGGCATCGCACTGTGCTTTCTCGGCATTGCCTTGTGGCTGTCGCTGCCGGCTCTCTCACGTAGGTTCTCTCTACACGACACGCGCAATAGGGTAGCTGACACTCACAGGATTGCTCAAAGGCTCTGTCTTGCTTCTCGCCTACTCGGCAGTGTTGGCCGTCTGTGTAGTCCAGCCAGACTTTTTTGAGGCATATGTGTTGTAGTATGGGTTGGCGTGGGCACGAAGAGCCATCAGAGCGCGAAAAGAGCACTGGCGGAAGATAGTATGGGATCTAGGACGAAGCAGTAGGCTGCGCCTAACGCACACCTAGTCTTGCTCACTCCTTTCTGTCATTTCAGCTTTCACAATGGAAAAGCACAGCATGTCGCTAGTGCACGTTCTGCTATGATGCCCTAGTCTGTACCTGCACGTAGCTCCATGCTCACACGCCCGTTGCTGGCGTTCCCGAAGCATCGCCAGCTTCGTCGCACCGAGGGCAGGCGCTTTGTAGCTATCAATCCAACTCGCACATCCTCACCTCTCTGTGCCTCACGTACCCTCGTGTTTTCGTGTACTCGCCGTCTCCGTGCAGTCCCAAACAGGTCCTCCTTTCAGGAGAGCATAACCATCCTCGAACGGGCTTGTGCACTCTGCCATTGTCGGCGAGTTCCACGAGCGGCTCGCCGACGTGTTTGAAGACGGTTGCACGGCGAGGCCGCCATGGCTGCGCGTCGGCGCTCGGTAGTCACTTCCACCTGCGGGCGCTGTCTCGTCCTGGCCCTGTTGTTCGAGCGATGCGAGACGAGAGTCATGGCACGTCGTGCGCCGCTCCGTAGGAGCAGATTCTGGACCACGAGACTGCGCTTGCTCTCTGCGTTTTCCGTCACGTTCATCCACGGCAGCGTCAGCATTGCGACATTGCCACGGGTTTCGGTACCTACGGCGCTTGCGTGGGAGATGCGCTTCTGTTTCCTGCGGCGTTCCAACCGCTCCATCGTGGTCTCTGCAGATTGCTCGAGCGCCGCCCGGTCCGTCATGGTAGGCTACTGAGTTCGCAAGACGGTCAAAGGCGAGTGCGCTTACTCGACGCATTGCACCCTCTTTAGCTCCATGTCTGTCTTTCTACCATGGCTCTTGAGCGCGATCGTGCTGACGATCTGCTTTGCATCACAGTCAGCACGTGGAATTCCAGCGTACCGGTCTTCCAGCCCTAAGCTCATGGCATTCCTCAGCACTGGTATTCCAGCGCAGAGAATACCAGGTCGCTGGTATGCCATGGGCTATGCTTATGAGCATGACACTGTCAGTCCGTAAGACGCCATGACAGGTCTTGTCGGCGAATCGGCCACCCGAGCACGGTGCTTACAGCGTGAGCAGTCTGCATTCTGCCCAGTTTCAGCCTCTATGGAGGATACGCATTACGCTCTACGGAAGCTCTATCTGAGTGAAGGGGGTGCGTAGGCTGAAGTCGCCGCGCTATACTCGACTGCCCACAAACGCCGCCAGGATGGCAGCCAAGAACGTCGCCAGACTACGCTTACGTCCTTCGCTGGTCCGCGAGGGCTGGCTGGCGCTCCCGCCCACGACGAGCGCGGGCGATGCATCGGCTACGTAGGGTGTACTCCCTTGCCTACGCGGACGGCTGCCCTTGCGTTGGACGAGCTTGTGAGAGCGCCTCGCACCGTTTCCGGTCCGCCCACCTTGCCTGGAAGCTTCCCGCAGCCTAGTTTTGTGCCAGACGGGGTAGCGTCTGTCACTTCGGCAGCGATGGCGACGATAGACAGTCTCTTTAGGGTCCTTGCGCGCGCGAAGCACTGCGCCCAACGCAGCGCAGTGCGTCTCGACAACCTGATGTGTCGCCAGTGAGCCTGAGCAACCCGCAGTAACATCTAGCCATGCACGCACCTGTTTGCGAGACACCGCAGGCCGCGATGTCGATCGGGAGAACTGCTTCATAACTGCAATGGCACGCTACAGTAGGGTAAGAGTGAGAGCGCATCTCGCGTCGTCTAGAAGAGGCCTTTGCTTACCAGAACGTGCCGAACAAGAGCTCGTCGTCCCACCATGGCCGCGAGGTGCAAGGCGTTGTGACGGCGCCGCAGGTGATGGCTGTGGGAAGGACTAGGCTAGCGCGGACGACGGCGTGCAGGCCGAGATGGGAAGTGAGCTGGAGACAGAGGGAAACGATGGGCAATGTACCTTTGCACCGCTCGTCAGGACGTGCCCCTCTCCTTACGCTCACGCTCACGATCACGCGGCTATGCGACGTGTCATCGAATGCAAGAGCAAAGGGAGCTGCACCTGTCACTCATGGTCAGCAGCATCCTCGATACCGCTGCAGACATCAGGCCGAGTTCGACGACGCATAAGCTCGTTGCGTGTCGAGCGAGCGCGGCATGTACGGTGGAGCGGTCACCGAACACCAACTTTTCCAAGTCACCGAAAGGTCGATATCCATCAATTTTTCATCGAAATTCGACTCCAATGTCTTCTTGGATCCTTTTCCCAACGTCCTCTCTCCGCTGCCGGCGTTGTGGCAGGCGCGCTGCCTTCTTTTGCCTTTCAGCTCACAGGGAGCTGAAATCTTTTCAAAATGGTCCGTGCGCTACTTGGATTTTCACGTTCGGTCGAAGGCCACAACCACCACCACCACCACCACCACCAAGACAATGAGACAGTCTTGACATTCCTTGTTCTTGCCATACAAGGGTATTGCCAGGCTGGATGCAAGGCTCTCCATGCGAAGAGCTACGGCACGATCCGACAGAGCACCGGCTCTCCACATCCGTCGCTCTTTCCTGCTCCTTCTCTTATGGCAGCGAACTGCCTTCGAACACAAGGGATCCATCTTAGTGTGTACATATACTGCTCAGTCTCTCCAGCTGAAAGGGGAGCTGTAGCTTGAAATGGTAGCAATACCCGCGCAGGTAAGAAATGCTTTCTAAAGTAGTGTGTGAGCACTGTAATTCTATAGCTTAGTACGTCCTATATGCCCTTCGGGGGGCGAGATGGTGGACTTGCTCCCCATCAAACAGACGTAGAATGAATACCAACCAACCAACCAATCAACCCACCAACTACGGTGGAGCGGTGCGTGTGGGTCGAGTACTACCATCCTAGACGACTGTGAGCGATGTACGAACGGCGAATCGACTGCCGGATGGATATCCACCTGTAGTAGTGCCTTTACACGAGTTGCTTCCCACCGTGCTCTTGACCATTGCCGTCGCGCTTGGTCTGTCTCTTGTTATCGCGCCGCTTCGATGGCGACACAGGGCAGTATTCGAGCGCTCGTCCAAGCCATTGTGTTGCTGTTCCTCCTGACGCTGTTCACTCTCGCAGCTCATCTTCTCCAGCACTGGGGTGGCATCTCTCGGGAAAGGCCCCTCTCCCCTCTCTCTTTTAACACGCTGCAGTGCTCGTCTCTCTTGTTCTATCCTCTAGCTCGCAGCGCGTAACGGAGCCTGGCGATGTGTCTGCGGCCATCCCAACGGACCCAATCCCGACGACGCCTCGGGGCGGTTCCAACACCACGCTCCTCATCGAGACAGCTCTGCACCCGATCATGAGCCCGGGGGATCGCGCATACCCGCGTCTCATGTGCCCGCAACCGAACCTCGACCGCTATGCTTACCTGAAGCGTTCGTACTCGGCCTCGTCCTACGTCCTGAGCAGTACAACCCAAACAACACCGTGATGTTCTCCAACGACGGTGCTCTGTGCATGGAGGATCTTCTAGAGCTCATCCATCAGCGTACGCTACAGGGCGCCGATCAGACATGCGCCATGGACTGGACGTATGTCGGTGACCATCCGACGTTCTACGATGTGTGGATCGCGCGCGGCATGACGGGCGACTCGTTTCTCGAGATTCCTGCGAGCGGAAGCTGGGACCGTGCGTGGGATCTGTTTTAGAACGACCGGAATGCCAAAGCGCGGTGGGCCAGCTGAAAACCGTTTCAGGTGTTCGCGCGGGGTACAGCGACGACACGACGATGAGAATCAAGGCCCTCAAAGGTCATACCTCGTTGCATGCTGCGCGCGAAAGCGATGATACTCTGATTGACTGGGATACCCTACCGCCACAGAAGGTGAAGGGCATGCCGAGCTATCAGCAGCAGTCCTTTGTCGCTTGGCATGAGGGCATGGCGTACTGATACATGCGGCTGCGGGGGGTGGGGTGGTATACAGGATCTAGCGTATCGCTCATGGCATCAAACGTCCAAAAGACACGCGAATCACGATGGCGGTAAAGCTTTACAGGATGTAATTCGTGCGTAAAGCTACGTCCTAGAACCTTTTTCCTGCTCCACAGCCCTTGAACGCGCTCGAAACATTTCTCATACCACCCGTGTAGGGTATAAGTGCTGCTGCTTATTCAATACCTTTACATATTACTTTGCGGATTCGCTCGGATCGGGGCCGAAGCACAATCTCAAACGGAACAGGGCTCCGTCCACTCGCACCATCGTACTCGTTCAGATCGACAGGATGACCTGGCACTTCTGCCAGGTCGAACGCCCACAGCATCTTCGTTACGGCAAGCCAAATTTCGCGCTGTGCAACGAGTATACCGGGACAGATACGCCGACCGACGCCAAAGGTCCAGTGGTCGCGCAGGCGCGGATCAGCCAGTCTTGCAGATTTGGCAGAAGAAAGACTATCGTCGAGGTAACGGTCAGGCTGTCCCCAGTGGTTAGTGGTACGGTGAGATTCTTACAGGCACAGAAATGGCTTACGTTAAACTTGAGGGGATCAGGATATCGCACTGGATCGTGGTGCATGGTCCACGTATCCAACACCAAGACCGACCCCGCCGGAATGAACTTGTTGTCACATACGAGGTCTTTGCTGGCCGCATGTGGTGTGCCCAGCCAGAACGGATTGTGGCACCGCTCCACCTCTTTGATGATAGCTCGGCAATAGGGTAGATTGGCCTCGTCTTCCAGGGTAGGAAGACGGTTGCGGCCAACGACGCGGTCGAGTTCTTCGTGAACCTTGCGCTGGACGTGTTTGTGGGAGGGAATCAGCGCGCTAAACCACTGTATGATGGACGCCGTCGTCTCGACACCGCCCACCATGAACGCCGAGGCTAGCATGGCCATGTCAAGATCATCCAACTGCTCCCTGTCTCTCGTGGCGACCATGGTCTTGACGAAGCAATCCTCGACCTGCACACCGGTCTCCATGCGACGCTCGATGCGCTTGACTTGGCGACCATAGGTGTCCACCAGGGCAGCGTGCAGTTGCTTCCCGCGACGCTGCATTTCCCACGGCAGGCTTCTCTGTAGCCATCCGGGCACGAAGTCAACCAGATTAGACATGGGGCCGGTCGTGTTCATGAACTCGCGCGAGAGGGCCAGAACTCGTGAATCCGCGACACGAATCCTGGGAGAGCCGAATGTGATTGCGACCATGCAGTTCAGAGAGCAGCGTCCGATGTAGACCTGGGGATTCAGGCGCTTGCCATCCGCACAGTCCCTAAGGAGCGCTCTGATCATCTTCGTCGTTTCCAAATCGAGCACGCCAGTTTGCTGGCCGGCGTCTTTCGGGTCCAGCGAGGCCGTCGCTATCCGGCGGTGTCTGCGCCTGCAAATGGAACTCAGTACCTGTCGTTGTCGTAGACTTTCCTGGGAAGGGGAAGGGGGAGGGGGAGGGGTGGAGAATCACACGAGACGTACCACATGTCCCCGTATCGGGTGGAGGTGATACCCCTGCCCTTGAGGATCGTCCGACTCTTGACGAACATTTCTTTGCGATCGGAGCAGATGGCTCCGTTGCTGAGGAAGAGGGATTTCGCAATGCCCGGATCTGACACCACGACGAAGCGCTGGTTACCGATCGTGAAGGAGTAAAGCGGTCCGTATTCCTGGGCCCATCTGTGGAGGGTCTGTTCGGGATATGTTCTCAGCAAGCTGAAACAACCTACGGCTTTGGTCAGTGATTTCGACGCTGCCAGCTGGACGACAACAAGCGCATGCCTAGTATAGGGTAGCCCCGAGGGCCCTTCGGCAGGCCAATGGCGCCGCGGCGCGAACGACGCCGCCATGCGACAATGCCGAACATGAAGCCAGCCGCGACCACTAGATATACAACCCACATTCCTGAATACCGTCTGTACGTGCAAGGCGATGCACACGAGAGCGCAGCAACCGAACGATGCAACGGTGCACGGAGTAGGCTGCTTAAGATATGTCGCACGGTGGAGTGCAGGTACTATAGACAGAACAATGAGGAGAGAGCATGTGTTGTACTGATTGTAGTATCCTAGCTCAGCTCGTATGAAGGTCATCGCACGGCGTTGTTAGCAATAAGGTTCATGTTCGCGACACCACTTGGCCTGCGACAACATACAACGACGCTAGGGGCATTTCTCTGCGCAAAACACTATGTCTCTTAGTCTTGGCTTCCTGTCATCTGGATCAGTGGATGTCGAGGAGGGAGCTAGGGCTCAGCACTCTGGCTGTACGAGAGGGCCATCGCCATGGCGAAGCAGAGATGACCTGCCGGAGTCACGACGATCATAGACGCCGATCTACCCTGTGCATGCAGCTTCGCGATGGGCTTACGCTCGCGTACGCGTTGCGGGACGGCAGCCTTCCCTGATCCGCCCTTGTAGCCCCTGTAAGCTGCTTACGGGGCAGACGGGGGTTACGATAAGCGAGTATCGACCTTGGATATACTGACGCTGCAAACGAGCCGCATGGACGCTTGAACTGCTGACATCGGCTCTGCGTGGGAACCGAGAGCGACGTTCCAAGCTGATCACTGTCGTCGGCTGTTGCTGGGCACCATGCCCAACTTGCCGCATCGGACTTGCGCGTGCGTCTGAGAACTGTGCCGCAGATTTCAGTAGAGCAAGCACTCATGATGGGGATAACCTATTTGAGGATGCGACGACCTGCTGCCTGTCGGGCGATAACGACTTGTGACCGAGCGGGATGAGTTCGATACCGGTGAACTTCGACAATGTTCGCTATTCTCCAGTTGATCGCAGGCCCTACTTTTGGGATCCTGCCTACCCGCAGTGGATCCAATTCCTAGAGAATGGCGCGTGGGCATCAAGACACGTGTCAAGGGTAAAGGAGTACGTTTTTTTACAACGCGTTTCGCTCCGCGCACATTGGCCTAACGCTAGACAGGGAGACCAAGGACGAGAACATAAAGAAGATCGCGAAAAAAGCGGAAAGGTTGCTACCCCCAAACCTAAGCGCGACCGAGACACCTGGGCCCGCTCAGCGTCCAACTTTGCCATCCTTCCAATCCTACCATGCGAAGATTTCGTCAGAGCCCCCGTGTCACGGGCCTGCGGGCAAGCGCAGGACGCCGCAGAGACGACTGCTTCCCGCATCCAACTCAGGCTCATCGGTGTCCGCACGAAAGCATCCCTACTCTCAGGTTCCCAGGGGACAAACGCAGCCTAGCCAGGGCACGACAGGCGGTCCCTATCCGAGACTTGATTATTACTGCATGTAGAACGGCAACTTGTAATCGTACCGCTGGCTCAATGCAGCGGCCATCGGCACCAAGGAGGATGTCTACAACAGGTCTATGGTTGTGCTGCGCCAGTGTTCGCACTGCAGAAGCAATACATTTGTCTCAACAGGGTCGATGGTGAGAAGCGGGACGAGTATACCTGGGTTCGAGGTGGAATCAGTGATGGTAGTGAGAAGCGTATCAGTTCATGTCGTCGTTCTGTAGTACCGTGCTCCGGTTGCAGGCAACTTGCTACAGTGTAAATCATCCCGGAGGTATGTGGTGGAGGCAAACAATGGTGTCAATGTCGATATCGCCTTCCTCCGAACGTGCATGCGTCAGTGGACGGGGCGGTCTTTTTGTCTGGTATGTGGTACTTGCTGCTATTCCTATACGAGAGGATGGTCACATGGGTGTCTTTTGAGCTCGTACGTTTGGCGTGGCTCGTGTCGCTACGGATCATTGCAAGATTGAAGGATGGGAATGCTCTTGTGGCATAGTACGCTGATAGGTGCGTGATGTACGCCTTGAGCGAAGCGCTACTGACGTTGTTCCCAGCTCTAACCACCCAACTCCCCCTCGGAATGGCGAGGTAGAGCTGACTGCCTGGCTGCTAGTATCTATTCATCCTACATAATGATCGTCTTTTCCCTCGCAAGCAGCGATGCGTGGAACGCGGTAGGCATGCTTTGCATTCGTATGTCTTTGCAACACAATCGAGAAGCGGAATACGTACTCGAGGTGAGTGGCGGGTCACGAGTATCTCCATAATGGCAGAACCGGCAGGTTCTCTTTGTGAATTACATAATGAGTGCTTATTACGTACAGAACAGGCCAGCCCGCGATAGCGTCACAGGAAGAGATTTCTACCGTGCGCGCCGGCCAGCAGCCTCCTACTTGGCATACATCCCACGTTTCTATCATGGTGATAAGGACAGCTCAAACTTCTCGTTCGTCGGAAGATCTCGTGAGCTGAAACCCGACATTGCGTGAAGGGACTCTTCCGGCAAGGTCCATGTTTGTGCAGCTGTGCTTCAACAACTGAGGTCGCGCCGCTCCAAGACAAAGGCGACTTCTTTCGACTAGTCCTTATCTTGTTTTAGATGGAAGTACGGGATCAGGATGCGTACGACCATGTCTCTCGGCCGGTCACTCGAAAGCGATCCGTTGTTACTGAATAGGGTCAGTAAGGTACAGGGTGTTGCTAATTGGCGTCACTTACACGGCCGCGGTGATATTCTCACCAAAGTACGACGCCGATTTCCTGAGGAAATTCATGCTACCAGGCATGTTCATATTCTGTTCGCAATTAGATGGGTGGCGCCCGAAGCCCTGGGGACAACACGTACCAGACTGGCGTTGGCGGATGGCACGCCAGCACGCGCAGCGAACCAGTCGGACACAACATAGCCCTAAAAACCGAGTTCGTTTTCCAGCAGACCATCAAGCGCCTTGCCGTCCTGGCAGCCGTAGCTTCCGTTGATGCGTTGGTAGGAGCACATGACTGAGGCAGTGCCTGCTCGCACGGCATTGGCAAACGGCTAATGGTATGTCTCGTGCATAGCCTGGAGGACATGGTCAGTTGTCGTGGCCCGCAAGCAGTTTGGTAGGGCTTGCCTTGTCGTCTATGTTGGATCTGATCGCCTCGATGGTCATTCGATTGGCGCTAAAGGTGGGATTCCGCTGAATCTCCTCCTTGTTGATGATGTAGTGCTTCGTCGCTGCCTGAGCGCCCGCGCTCTGGATCGCCTAGATGGTCACTGCGACGAGTTCGCCTAAGAGGTAGGCTTCCAGACTGAAACCCTCCCAGTTACGTCCGCCAAAGGAAGATCGCCCAAGCGGGCCGGCGATTGGGCCCAGTACGACGTGGGCGCCTTTGGCACAAAACTCTGTGCCCATATAGAACGCATGCTGATGGGCGAGCAAAAGGTCCCAGGATGCTTCTACGGACAGCTGAGCCGGGAAAACAGACACAAAGGGGGCGTTGCGGATCGCCTGCGGTCCATCTTGCAGGCAGAGGCCAGTGAGATTGAGACGGCTGATAGGTGCTACATCGCCCAGGCAGGCGCCCGTGGTACCTGTAGACGAGTTCAGTTGCTTGTCAATCTGCAACAGAGTGCTCCCTACCTATTATCATGCCAGCCTTCTCCGCAAGTGTCAGGTGGTCGACGAAATCTCCAGCTGCCTCCAGCGCTTCTTCCCACCTCCGACTCCGGTAGTGTAGGCTGGACGGTAAGTCAGATAAAGAAGGAACCATTCCCAGGGTTGCTTTCGGGAAGGGTAAATGGGCGGGCTAGTTCCACATGGAGTATGCGTAAGGTCAAACTGCGCAGCGACTGCCGCGATGTGGCCGAGCCATACGACAAAGTATAGCATGGTGGAGGTACTGTGGCGAATACAGCAGGTCCAATGTTGTAATACCCAGCGATATCGCCTTTATACCGCCCGTGTCCGCCATTTGTACCTGCCCAGATGCGAGATCTTCCGTGACGTGCGAAGAAGGCACCATCCAACAGGCAAGATCGGATCCAGGCGACATACCTCTACGTAGCTAAGTCTGCACAGCAGCGCCAGGTTGCGGAAACCACTGTCAGCCACGTGTCGCGCGCTGCTTACGATACACGGAATGGACAGCTAAAGCAGATATGCGTGTGGCATTCCCACGCATCTCCGTGACGCGTGGGCGATTCCACCACTCGTCCTGTCTGCTTGCCGTAATCGTTATAGCGTCGTAAACACCATCGCTGTAACCGTCAGCGTCATACTCATCTTCGATGTAGACATTCCCCACCGCGTTGACCGAATGCTGCATCACAGTTGCCAGAAAGACGCTTGAGCTGCCGTCGCCTAACGGCGATCTGCTTACGTCCCCAACATCAGCAGCTTACTTACTCTACCGAGAAAGACACTTTTCGGATCAGCGAGCCTAGTCTCTTCGTCGCTGTCGCTACGGTACACAGCGTTCGAGCGTCGCCTGCGGCTCAGACGACGCACAGCCACGGCATTTTGTGTCGTCGTGACGAGGCTTGGATGCCTGTTCGTCGACATTGGGTTAACGTCAGAACCGCTGTCTCCTCCATTTTCGCCTCGCTGTCAGCCTTGGACCTGAAGCGCTAGGCATTGCTACCCTTTATAAACGAAAGCTAGTTCGCAGTCACAATAATACAGTTTCCAGCTCTGCGCAATTCCATCACTCAGTCTTTTCACACAACCACAACGACAGAACGGCTACGGACCCTTGAACTCCCATAAGAAAGATGGATCCTACCTCGAGCCCACCCACTGTGGCTGAACAAGGTCCCGGCATAACGAGTATTGACAAGGTGGTTGAAGACGTAAACCACCAACTTCCACCTCGGCCGTCACCAGAACCAACACCACACAAAGATTTTGTGGAATGCAATCCCCCGAAACCACCTACATACCGCAAGTTCACCGTCTTTACCGCTGGCAGTATAGAGATGGGCGATGCAGTCAACTGGCAGCCGCTGATGGCAACCCTGCTGAATCACTTGCCGATCACTGTGTGCAATCCCCGGAAAGGCAAATGGGATCAAAGCATTACGCAACAGGCCAAGAACGAATTGTTCAGACAACAGGTCGTATGGGAGTTGAAAGCACTGGAACAAGCAGACGTCATCTGTTTCTTTTTCGACACTAGGACCAAAAGCCCCGTATCTCTCCTCGAGCTGGGCCGCTGGATGGATTCCGATAAGGTTGTTGTTTGCTGCGGTCAAGACTACTGGAAGTCAGGGAACGTCCATATCACGTGTGAGGAGTACGGTGTCCAATGTGTCGAGACATTCGAGGAGTTGGTACCCGAGGTCGAGAAGATGCTCAAGAAGAAGGGCATGGCACTCGACGATAAGGGCGACTTGATCGGGGAGAACGTACACGTGCCGAAGGAGAAGCCAAAGAAGAAAACGCAGCTTGAGGAGAAGATCGCCGAGTTGCAGAAGCAAGTTGATGAATTGCTAGCAGAAAAGAAAAACGGCACAGCCGAGGACGTAATCAAGATACGACCTGAGTGAGCTCTGTTGCTTGTGGAGGGATGGTGGATCGCGGCACGTGTGTCTAGTACCGAGAGTTACCTGTATAGACGGTGGATAGCAAATCCTAACATTTATCACGACAACTTGTGTACCTTCCAATCGTATATTCTGATGCCTAGCCGTTCAGTAGGCGAGTCCGGACAACGTGAACGGCTGTGTACGTCTCCACGTGGATCGTCACAGTTTGTGCCGCTGGGCGCGGGTGCGATTGAGCAAGAGTCAGTGAGACAGAGTGCATGTTTTGTGGACTGTATCGCTCTAGCTCTATTGACTTCTAGGCCAGGTCATGGCACAGCTCGTGACAGCGTTCCTATTATGACAGGGCGACTATTGCGAAGGGTTCTAAGCCACCGATCCAGAGGCGACCGTATCGCTGATTCATCCCTGGCTGCATCTTGCTATTCTGTGGTTGTTATGAGCACCATTGTGAACGAGAAGAACAGCGGCAATCTGGCATGGCCATGTCTTACGTCCGTCTTCTTGTGTGTGCCTTGCAATCTCACTTCAGTGCAGCGATCCTCCATGGCGTGCCTACCGGAGATAGCAATGCACATGCGCAAGAGACGCAGCACATGTTCAGAGGCCCACCCAGTGTGTCGTGCCGTGTAAACAATGCACGTTCGATCATTCAAACGTCTGTTCGCTGCTGGTGATGGAGATTAGAAGGCGTTGGTCTTCGTGGCTCGATTGCACTTTTCTTGCGCGTGGTGACCGGCTGGTGCCAGGTGGTGGTGTAGTGCAACACAGACCTCGTTTTCGGTGGGAGAAGGTTGCAGCGCCTGGAATTGTTCTACCGCGAGTACTTTCTTCTGCATCTCCACTTCAGCATAGCTTGGTGTGAGGCAGGTCGTGCAGTGCGATAATCCCTGTGCTGGGCATGTCCACCAATCGATGCAGATGCAACACCCGCAGACCCAACCTTGCTCTGTCTGGGAGGGAGGAGGTGGATAGAAAGTTGTGATGTAAATCTCCCGGCTGAACAATTCGTACAGGTCGGCATCGATATGTACGTCCCAACCAAGCGCTGCCAAGAATTGGGCTTCCATCAGGTTCACCTCCACGTTCGAGAAGCCGGCGAAGCCGCATTCAGGAATGACACTGAGATCCGCCCAGCAAGCGTTGTTCACGCTGTCATCGTTGTGGACCTTATGTGCGAGCATCAAGGCCGCTAGGAAAACTCGATGAGGGGTAGACGGGCGACCGAGGTGAGCAGGATGCAGGCGACCCCGGAACCATGATAGATATATGAGGCTCATCATGAGTTCCGGGATGGTGGTGTAAGACCGTATGGTGACGTACAGGACGAAGTCGGCGATGGAAGGAAGACAGGCCTCGTCCACACCTGGCCTATAGACGGATAGGCGCGGTAAAACCTTGGCCACTTTCTCAGCGACATGATCGATGAGACTGGATAGTTGACCAAGCTGAGTGAGGTATTGAGGCATGCTGAGCTGGTGATAGAGAGGGCATGCATGCGCAGACTGCCGCGAGGAGGTAGGGTTATAAATTCATGCACCGTGCAGACTTCACACGGCTAGAAAGGGGATCCCGCTGCAATTGTGACACTGTAGTGCATTCTGCAAGTCACCGCCTCGTTCGTTGGTACAGCAGCTGTGTGAATCGACGGCAGACACTCCTAAGCAACGGCCTGTTCGCACCGGTACAAATCACTAGATTCGTGATCGCTCCGCCAAACGACTATAGCCATGTCTCAAACAGATCTTCCGCTGCCATCTGTAAGTCGACCTGGCTACTTGCTTATTAGCTCACTCCTCGTACTCTTGTTATCGCTCGCTGCGTGCCGTGTGACGTCTTGTGTCTGCCTCGTTCTTACACATCTCCGCCGTCGGGTGAGTCTTTTCAACACACCACCAGTTGGCGTCAGCACCAGGTTTTGTCGAGCACCGACGACATCTGCACACCAGTCAGGGCCTAGCACTTCTGGAGTCTAACGCCTGTACTGGGCGAGATGGCGGCTTACAGGTCCCTGTGGCGTGTGCCGATCCTGGGACATCAGCCTTGACGAACGGAAAGTGAATTCTAGGTGCCTTCTCATCGCTGTCTCTTCGGAAACAGCCGTTATGAGAGCTCATGAAACATGCTCACGAGTTCGCACAGACACGCACAGAGTTATGGACCGCCTGGGTCTATGAGGGCTTACATCGTATCTTAGCCAATCCTGCGTCAGCGATGAAATGATGTAGTTACCTCTTTCGCAAAGAGCCAACTTGCTAAGGCCCAGTGATCATGATCGATTGCTACATTGAGCGCGGTGTCATTCTGATGATCTCTAATATCGATGTCTGCCTTTTTGTTATGCAGCATCTTCACTATGTCGAAGCGGCCTTCGGCAGAAGCTGCGTGTATCAGAGTAAGATGATTTTTGTCTTCGTTTACAAGATTGACGTTTGCTCTACTAATTAAGCAGTCTTTCTAGTTCAATTCTGGAGTCTCTAGCGCATATCATGCAAAGTAGGATGTTCATCAGTTTTCTAGACTCCAAACCTTCCCTTTTTTCTTTATCGCTGTTGGCTTTGACCTTCTGTATGAGCACGGCAGATTTTATTAGGGACGAGAGGTCTCTTCCGATGTCTTTGGCTGCACGTTAGGGGTCAGCCGATGACGATGTTGTCAGCGTACGCGTAATGATCCATGCGAGATCGACAGTGTTATTGTTATGCCGCGCGATTACAGCCATCAGCGATTGTGGTCTCACCTTTGCAGGCAGCACCATGAAGATCCGGTCATCGTTGCAGTCAAGTGCCGGCCAACCAAATCGATCAGACGTCCAACGCTAAGTTACATATAGATGGTGGAGCTGGGAAGAATCAGCTTGCAACTGTGCGCAAGAGTGAAACAGCAATCGTTCGTCACTGTATCTTGTTGCACTGCGACAACCTTTCGCGAGTGAATGATACAACTAATATATGTTGTCCTAAGCACACTGTAGCAAAGCGACGTTCAGTCGAAACCGGGCCATACACTCCGAATTCTTCTATGCCGTAAATCACAGTTATATCTGTTTCTATCTCCGCTCGGCCAACCTCAGTGGTTTTCAAACACTCCAAACTCAGTCTCTTAGATCAACCGCATATCAGCTCATACTCTACCATGCGTCTTTACAGCCCTTTCACCCTCGCCGTCCTAGGTGTTACTATGGTCCAAGCTAAGTGTTATACAATGTCGGGCGATATGTATGGTCAGTCCGTGGACGGGGCTAATGAAGTAGTGGCAGAGTTCTGTGACCACAGCTTAGCTGGCTATTTCGTCGAAGGTCAGGCTAAGTACCGTTGCTTTCAACTGAACCAAGAGCTTGAAGCCGAATTTTGGGTCATATGGAAAGGTCGTGGAGGTATAACATTGAACAGCAAGGACTGCAAGATGCGCCTCAAGAACGAAATCGTAGGATGCACTCTTGGTGGTGAGAGTGTTGTAGCTGACTGGTACTTTCGGTAAGCATTTTTGAGTCTTGTTACACTTGGGAAAAGAATCAGGCTAACTGACTTTCACGTGAAAGCTTTGATCCGAACTGGGGGAAGTGTTAGTGTTGGGGGGAAAGTGAGGTACACGATGTCATCACAGTGGTGCGAGGCTAGGGGCTGCGCTTCCGGTCGAGAGGGGAATGGTGGTGAGCGACACGGTGTTGAGTTGTGAGAATAACGAAGCTTCCATTCGCAATACATACTTGCCATCTTGAACCACAAAGCAGGCTCCGTGTGCGCGTAACCGCGATGCTGAACTGTGGTTGCCGTCCACTCCAACAACTCCATCCCATGGTACTGCTACGACGCAGAATGAATAGCGAGCCGATCATACTTTCCAAAACACATACTACACGTACGCAAAGGTACACTCATCCATGAGGAATACCGCAAAAACAAGGAAATAGTGGTGTCAGTCCGATCAGTGATAGAATCCAAAGAATAAATTTCGCTCCCCATCTTTTCTCTGTTCCATAATTATGCTTCTCATCGCTAGTTCTTGCAAATTTCTTGCTTCGTCTTTGCTTGATGTCAGAACAATACTTCTCGCAGTCGCAGCGCATGGGGCAACGAAGCCCTCTAATCTCGAGGTTGTCAAGTCTGTTACCATACCGTTTCCGTGCATTCCATCCATAGACAATATCCGACAGTTGAAGTGTATGCGTGCTAGTTGTGGCGACATCATGAGGTTGAGTTACAGTTTGTGGAAGGAAGACGCTATTTGGTAGGTGCGCTGTATGACGAGTTCGTACACCTGGTTGCACAGGCGGGGTAGGTCAGAAGGTAGATTGGAACAATCATAGATTTGTATTGAGTCTCTCTGGAAACTGGTGCGTTGACAACGCTCACTGTACTCGGATCCGAACTGACATAAACTAAGAAAAGTCTCATATTTGCAAATTACGCTTAGGATACGCTTTATGGCAGAATCCTTATTATCTTATATTAACTACTTGAACAGCATTAAGTTGCACTTTTACACCCCGTTCCTGTTAACATTGGTACAGTAGTACTTACTATTGTGCTTTCTAGAAATGACGGATCGGATCCAGGGTTTCCCATCTCTTCCCACGACACGGTACTGTACCTTCACTTACAGTGTAACCTTTACATCATGAGGCGGACTTATTTAGTGAAGAGTCACCACCTTCTTATACTTTGCTACGTAGTAGATCTCTCTCTACATACGTGGCATGAGAGAGACCTTGCCAGTGTCGTTCAGTCGCTCAGGCTGTGCACCAAGCTCAACATATCCCATCCTACCTCCAAGCGACTGCCTGAGATTCCACTGGGAACAAGCGATTCTTGCTGAGGGCGATACGCTCCGATGAGAACCAGCCGGTGGGATCACAGAGATCGAGAAAGTGGGCCCAAGGTGGTTGGTGCTAGCCGTCTAGTGTGATATCAGACTTTTTAAATAATCTGTTTGATGCAGAGTCATCGTGCGAATCCAAAGCAAGGGGCGTTGAGCGTTCGACTACATCACGCTGGTGGCATCATCATTCTTCTTAAGGTGCGCGATATCTATTCCTTATGCCAGGAGCAACCTCTGCATCGGAAGACAAGCGAGGGATTTCGGCTTCGAGAGAATCTATCTAGCGCTAGAAGTCTTGACGTGAAGCAAGAAAGTTATACCAGCCTTGTGGCTGCCGTGGAGCGTAAGGTTATGCATCGTTGCCGCCCTGGTCGGTACTCCCGATCGAGGCCGACATCGCTTTCGGATAGCTTGAAACAGCCTCATACGTCTGGCAAAAACATACTTCGCAACTTACTTCTGTCTTTTGGTAAGTTCTGCTTTTTTTCCAATAGGCTTGTCTTGAGGTTGTGCTAAGTCCTGTCAACGAACGAAGAATCGACCGCTGTATATACAAGTCAAACCAACTTTTAATTAAAACGAGGACTTCGCATAGAGCTCATTGCTTATCACACGTTCAATCAAAACGTGCCGTGAGCCTGTTTGCACGCTTGACAAAGCTGCGCGGCCAGTGGACGCCAACCTGGCATGCACCGCGCGCAGCCAGCAGCTTGTCAGCCATATCGCGTACAGCTACGTATGTAGACGCAAATCCACGTTGGTCTAGGTTAAGTATATAGCTGATGATTACCTGCTCTCCTCTCTGGGTGAGTTTCTTCGAGTTGGGCTGGCAATCGCGTCGGGCAGGTACGCCAGCGCGTCGGCGACGGATCGATCGTTCAGACACGCTATGGATAGCAGCAGCATTGCGATTACTCTGTATTTGATGAGATACGATAGAGGAAATAGCAGGCTGAATACCTGCTTCATTCGAAGCTACTAGGGTAGCGCTATGTTGGGCCAGTGTACGTTAAGGTGAAAGAGATGATCAAAGTTGGTGGGGGTGCGGCGCTCGCTTGCCTGCGTCGCCCGCTTGCCACATACGCTACGCAATGTTTCGAAGTACATGTGGCAATGCGGATCGAAGGACATAGTGAAGCAGGAACAGAGGTTTCTACTAGGAGATATCGAGAGCACGTTCAGAGACCTGCATGTTGTGACATGAAACATCAAGCACTACAGAAATCCAAAGCCTAGCTGAATGTGTATATGCGTGGTCTTGATATACTTAGATACGATCCAAGCAATGGCTGTGTATGAATTTGGAGATACATCGCCCTTTAGTGACGGTCGCAGTACGTATCCCATAATCTCCCGAGGAAAGGGATTCCTCAACTCAAGCCAATGCTATCTCAGTTCCGCCCGTTACCAAGACCGTGCTTCTTTGTGCGCAGCTGGAGCGTGCCTGAGAAGCACGTCGCTGGCACTGGATCCATTCTCTTTAACAACTAACGGATACACGAAGGATAGTATAACTATAGTTTCCATTGAGGTAGCGTCAGGATTGCGCTCGGTAAGGCTTTGCCGGAGGGTTGTGGGTTTCACTGTGTCGGGGTTCTGGCAGCGGAGAGAGCTGGCTGCCGACTGTCCGCAGGCCTCTTTGGCTTCCGTAGGTGTGCAATTCACTATTTACTGTTCTATGACCTATCGTTGTCAGATTGGAGCCCTTTAGGTCCGCTTGTTGAGCAGAGATGGTGCGTAGACTCGGTTGATTCACTTGCAAAGAGTAAAGCTCCATCCCATCTACGCTAAAATATCCTGATCGCAGCTTATCAAGCACTTCTAGCAAGGTGCTGTGTTCCCATATTCTCGAACGGCTGAGTGAACGCTCCGATGTAGAAAGGGCCTCTACGTACTGAAAGCACCTCGTCGTTGTTTGGAAGCGATTCGGCATGGAGCTCGTAGCTGTAGGTATGCGTTCGATCCGGGTCAGCCTCGCTGGGGTGGCTAGAGTGGTGGTAGTGATGAACCTCGAAAGCCAGGATGCCAGCATTTCCGTTGCATTCTGAGACCTTTTGCAGTAGGCGACGTTTTTTTCTGGCACATTTCGATCTCCTGCAAATCTGTGCAGCCCAACCTCGTTCGTATGGAGCGTTGCCGGATCGAGGTTTCTCACAAAGCAAACAACTGTCAGACAGTATTCTACTAGCTGATACGGAGTGCACGAGATAGTGGAGCCATAGTATATTGTCTGGTGTGGATAGACGAATCGATACCTTCTAGTACTCGATTCGGCAGTTCTACTTATACTCGCACTAACAGAGGTCACGTGAGGCATTCAACCTCACATTGACCTACGTTCCTGACAACAACGGTCCTTTTCATCGGCGTGGTCCATACTGTTCGCCAGGACAGAACTATCGAGACAGTCGCACTGTAGAGGGTGGCTAGGAGTTAACAAGGCTGCTGTATATATGGGGTTAGGAGAACGTCACATAGTACCTCCTGCAACTGGCAGGGCATGACGTTTTTACACCTACCGTACTGTGACTGAAGAATGCAGCTTCGATTCTGCCATCAGCGACAACACATGCGCTTGGCTAGAGGGTAACAGATATGGTTCATACGATGCTGATGGCTGACGCTTAGCTGAAAGCGAGTAAGCAGATCTCCCTAGCAGACTGTCTGGAAACTGTGTGCAGAAGGGGAACAATGGATTTGCTATACACGAAACGCTAGATGCATGAGTACGCGAAACCAATAGCAGAAAGAATTGTCTCGAAAGCGGTTTACGTTGCTCAGATAATGGGGAATCAGTTACGAAATGAGCTTTTCGTTTGACTTTGAGCAAGCACTTGTTCCATACATGCGTTCAGCGTGTCGCAACAATGTTTAAATCCCATAATCGTGATGAATCTGTGTATGGTGTAGGCTGGCCATATTCTGGGTCCGTGGGATTTTCGATGTTGGTCTTGTAACCATTATGGGTTTTCCAGGCAGGGAAGGCCCTCCAAAAGTGTTGCCCTGGCTCGGTCGGGCCGTCTACAAAGATCACGATTTGCTTGCGTTATGCACACTAAGCACTTTTCACAACCCAAGATGGCTTCAAAATTGATCTGACCATAGGCAGATGTAGATGTTGTCGCATGTCAGGAGGTGGTTCTACGCCACCATCTGATAGTGCTCCAGCTCGACGTAGACTGTTGACTGCTAGTGCCCGGTCACTCTGAGCACACTACCTGCGTGGAACATCGATATTTCGATTTCGTCTACTGCGGCTAGTTACAAAAGTCATGCGAGTGCAACATAAGATCTCCTCAAAGACGACGTGAAGCTGTCGCGTGGTGGGGATTCCATGGCACGCCTGGAGGACTATAGCACTTTTACACAGCTGTAGGGAGAATGGACGCGGAAAAGATCACAACATCATACAGACAAAAACTTTCTTTGGTGTGTTTGTAGATAGGCTGGTCCTTCTTGTGTTCGCACCAAGTAAGACTGAGTCCTCAAATACTGACGGCTACTGCGCACCAACGTCCCCAAGCTTCTGTTCCAGTATTTTGACTAGGACCATGGCCTGCCTCGATTCGTTGTCATCTAAAATCTCTTCGTTCTCCAAGTTCTTCTTCTCAAGTTTAAGCTTCTCCTTTTCGAGTTTCAGGTTCGCCTTCCTGAGTTGAAGCTTTTCCTCTTCGACTTCAATGAGCCTTTCCTGCGTTTCGATGTTTTTCTTCCTGAGATCAATTACCTTCCGCGCGTTATGTTTGCGATCCTCTGTATAGTCTGGCAATCGATTTTTGAGAACATCGATAACTGTGCGGATGTAGTTTGACTCCTCTCTTCGGAGGATACCGTCATTGAGATCCTAGCACCTGGTCAGTGGGTTGCCTGAAGCGTCTGGCAAAAAACTAACAGGGTGATTCGAAGCTCTGTTTGTTGGCTGTATGCTATGTAATCCCAAGGCTTTCCTTTTTTTTCTCGCGTTTCTCATGTCGTTCTCGGTGATTGGATCCACTCTGGAAAACTCTAACGCTAAACCCTTGGGTTTACGCTTTCGCTTTTGATTGCGTTCGAAGGAGGTCGCATTGTGGTCGTTCTGCGAAGAATAAATCTTGTTCAAGGTCAGCTATACACAAAACGATGTGACTTCGCAAGTACCTGTTTGTCTAGAGTAGGTTTCCACGACGGTTTATACGACAGAGAGTTTTCGACTGTGATAGTCTCCGTTCTAAGACGTTGGTTCCCAACGTCAAATATTGTGGCATCGTCGTCATCCCACTCATCTTCGCTGTCTGAGACTACAGTGTATTCGTTGACGCCCGGTTGTGGTCGATCGTTTAGATCCTTCCTCTTCATCAGACGGTTAACCAATGGTTCGTATTCAACCATCGTGACTCCAATCGAACTTTAAAGAGGATTTCTCTTACCTGTCCAGGACTGCGGCCGTTGCGAGATTGATACCTCAATGGACATGACATTGCCTGTGACGATGAAGGTGACTAGGTGTCCATGTTGTGGAGGTGCAAGAAAGAGGTGAGATGGTTGAAGGATGCTTGCAGGAGAGACTGGCTCTTTATATACCCTCCTCTGCCCCTGGACAGAAGGCAGGCAGCATTGTCGCCAACTGAAACCTGCGGCCTCCATCCTGGCTCCAATGCCACACCTTGGTTTCCACTCCCCTCTCTGGTCCATGGCATTGGCTTCCAGCTAGTACGCTGTCCGAAAGCAGAGCAAGAAGCCGCTCATCCATGCAACGCGGCTGGAGGTGGTCTGACTACAGCGGATGGCTGATTTTCCACCATCACGACGTGTTCTCATCCTGCTCTTTCCCTGTCCCCAAGTAGTTTGAAGGGAGGAGGTGGGCTGAATCCTGTTTGTGATTCCAGACTTTCCTTCCGGCTCTTCATGTGACCTGAACGAGGTTGTCATCATGCCTTGCTAAAAACCTCTCACTGCGCAATTCGCATGTCTATATTGCACTGTCTTTGGAAATTGTCCGTGACGGGAGCCTGCCAGTCTGCAGACAGGAGAGACCATTTGTCCAGCCTATCGCACGGGATATTAGGCCATACTTCCAAGGAATGACCCACAGGGCGCAGTGTCGTCCAAGGAAACAAACGCTCACAAGCATACCGTCGGATGCAGAGAGGCGACAAGGCTGTGGGAGTGGCGATGTCGCTGGGTTATGCGTTGAAGGAACATAGGGGACCGACTGGGCGAAGTAGCGAGTCACCGCTAGGTCGAATACTGTTGTGGAAACTGGATTGATCTTGTCCACAGTAACTGTCTCAAGGGGACGGCAGTCTACAGTCTACTTGATACCCACTGTACTCGTGCTTTCCGGCACGGGTTGTCTTCGTCATTGTATGACCTCTCTAAACGTACGCACAGTATTTCGCGAGACCACTCGACGGCGCAGTGCCAGATTCGCATCTCTGAGGGTGTACTGCAAGGCACTGGTAGCCTTCCATTGCAAGAGTCTGACTATGGGGAGTACATTGCCTTCGTGGACCGTCCATACTTCGACGTCGTTTGCTATTGACTGCTAAACGTGCCATGCAAGTGACACATTCGATAATCGTCGACGGTAACACGAAGCCGTTACGTGAGGCGGCCATCATGACACGCTTGAATGACTCGCAGAAACCTCGGCTAGCTATTGAAAGCTTGAGCGTGGAAAACATCACAGAGTTCAAAGAATCTACTCCGAATGCTACATATTGTCCTGCTGCGATGTGGCAAGATTTTCTATGCTGTGATTATGTCCAAGTCAAACTTTCCGCACCATGACCAGGGAAAATTACGCCTCCTTTGCGGACGACTCTCCGTCGCCAGTTTGAAATGGCATACTGGTGCTACTCAGAGGTATAGCTTCTTCAGTCCTTTGATCATGCTCCACTACGAGTGCTTGTTTTCTTCCAACTTCAAGGACAATTTGCTTGAGCTCCGAATATTCGGTCTCCAGTTTGCAGAATCGATCGTCCCTTTCGATCAGACTTTTCTCGATGTTCCGGATGTGTTCGTCGTGACTAAGAATTTGGTTCTCTTGTTCTCTAAGTCTATCTCCGAAGATGATCCATTCGTGTTTTGCGATGATCAATGTGTCGGATCCGGATGCCTTTACTTAGGTTAGCGAGACAACAGCGATTTTGAATTGGAAACCCACGCGTATATCGCACTCTTTGACGGCATTGCTCTTCCTCCTGCTATCGAATCGATGGTTTTTCCACCCTCGCTTCTTCTCGGTACCTGAAGTCTCAGAGGGCTGCACACTGGCCTCGTCTTCAGTGCATTCGATTGGATCTGTCTTGTCGTTCTTCGTGAGCGGACACGTTCTCTTTGTTGTCTGTACGTCCAAAATCCATGGGGACATATTTGGCTTTCTTGTTCGAGTGTCGGGAGAAGCAGATAAGGCGACAGAGTCTTGGACACCATTGAAACTCTATCAGAAAGTCAGTAGGCGAGTAAAAATACTTTGAGTAAGACCAACTTCTATATGTGAGACTTTGAGTGCCCACATTTTGTTATGTGAGTGCCTTTTGCGTTTTTTTCTCCTGCTGCCTTCACCATCCTCACTATCTTCAATCACCCGGCCTCTATCGGCTTCGTGTGGGACATCTTTGATGATAGATCTTCGTTTAGAGCCATTCTCCAAGGAGACGTCGTTGGGGGCGTCCTGGGAGGAACGAGTCTAGTCTGAATGAGTCGAATGAGAAAAAAGGATATGACTCCGAAAGTACCTGCTTCATTCGAGAAGACCTTGACAGCGAGGGGCTCATATCAATATCAGTGTTCTCGGCTGTACTACTTCCCCTTCTGAGACATCTATATCGGACGCCAAGGGTGTTGACATCGTCCTCGCCAGCCCTATCAATCAAGTTTGATTGGACTGTCTTGCGTAGTTCATCGCCTAGGGGCGGTTTGTAATTTAGACATCCTGACTTGACAAGACAGTTAACAGATGATTTGTGCGCAAAGATCATGACTGCAAAAAAGTTCACAGGAAGCTTTTCTTACCTGTCCAGAAGCGGGTCGCTTGTGAGATGGGTATGTCGATGGGGATGACATCGCCTGTGTTGATAAGAATGGCTGGGTTTTCATGCTAGGGAAGTGAAAGAAAGAGATACGATGGTTGAAGGATACTTGCAGGAGAGACAGCCGTTTAAGTACTCTTCCCTGCCCCTGGACATATCGCAGGCAGCATCGCCGCCAGCTGACACATGCCACTTCCATCCTGGCTTCAGTGCCACCCCCTTGGTTTCTTCATCCTGGTCGCTGGTACAGCAAGAAGCCGCTCACCCATGTAACGCGGCTGAGAGTGGTCTGACTAAAGGGGATGGCTGATTTTCCACCACTACGACGTATTCTGATCCTGGCCTTTCCCCTGTCTCAGAGCACAGCGCCTTCCAGAAAAGAAAGGTCTGCCTAGCAATGCAGGCATGCCGTCCAATGCAAAGAGGCGACACGGCTGTGAGAGTAGCGACGACCCTGGTTCTTGCGTCGAAGGAAGATGGGAAGCCGACAGGGCGAAGCAGCGAGTTGCTGCCAAGTCCATGCCCGCTGTCTAAAACGATTGATCTTGCCTACAAGCGCTGTTTGAAGAGGACACCAGTCTCCAGTTCACTCAATACCTTTGATACCCTTTCTACTCGTGCTTTCAGCCACGGGGGTTCTCTTCGTCATTGAATGATCTCTCTGCACGTAAATGCAGCATCATAACAACTACTTGACGGCGCAGTGCCGGCTTTACGTCTCTGAGAGTCCCGCAACCTTCCATCGCCACAGCGCATATCGAGATCGCGTAAGAGAAGATCGACACTGCCGCAAGGCGCCCTCCACAGGATGCGGGGCCATGGAACGGAGAAGTTGCCCAAACAGAGACCACTACTTCCCTTCTTGCGCAAGAGGCGGATCTAGGATTGCACAGCCGACAGTTGTGCTTGGCAGTCTTCGCCAGGCAGCCATTCCAAGATCAGCAGAAACAGCTCCTATCTCGATCACGATCGCAAGGTTGATCACCTTGGTCACGGGCATGAAGCCCCAGCTGATAGAAGCACTCAAGAAGATTGAGGCAGTCTTTCATCGGAGGAGACCGCCGTTCTGTCACTGAATTCTTCCCCGCCACTGCAACTTGTAGAACCCATTGCACGACAGCTCAGCGACTGCGCTAGGGTCTGACGCACATGCGAGCAGTGGGAGACTTTCCAGACGATCAATAGATACACAGCAGGAAGCCTCCTGCGGCGAATCTGTTCCGTGTAATAGAGGCCAGCACCAGCGATGTTCACCAGGCTCAATGCTAGAGTTCACATAGGGAAAGATGGAAGGCACTGTGATTCGAGAGTGTCACAGGAAGTGAGGTAAGACAGATTACGATCCACTAGGCATCTTCAGGTGCTAGCATTCGAAAGTCGATTCGCTCTACATCACAATTACAAAGATTACAAGGTGCATCTCGCAGGACCAACAACTGTGGGATGAACATGCAGAATCTTGTTGAACATCGTTGACACATCTCGAGATTAGGGAACAACAAGTGCCCATCAGGCTGTATAGTTGGCCAGGCTGTATAGTTGACCAGGCCGCTCAATTGCTCTTTTTCTTACGTTCACATCCGGCCGCTTGGACATGCCACCGAACACCATCCAAAGTGGACTGTACGCCAAGTCTACGCCTACCAAATGTGCTATGCGACTCGACTCGAGCCATGCTGATGGGCGCAGTGGACTCGCACCAGTGGGATCTTACTACGTCCCTTATCTCAGAGTGGGTGAACAAAATGACGTCTTGCACGCCCCCAGTGCGGTCTTGGGTTACCAAGCTGTCTATGCAGCTGTCAGAGTGTCTTTTTCTGTGCGCCACAGGGCCGACATCGTAACGGAAAAGATAATCTATCAGTAAAACCGTCTCAACGTGGGTATCGCATGTGCCCTGCAGTTTGCTACCAATGGACTCAGCATGTTGCACGAATGTGTCGCTGTCCTTCAAGCCGCTGCGGATATGATCTACTGCGGACGTGATTCGCCCGGTGACGACAACACCCAAGGACCAGTCGAACATAATACTGTCCACGAAGTCTGTAGAGTCATCCACCGCCGATTTGTCGTGACTCGACGAGTTGGCCTCTTTAGGCGTTATCCGGAGCCACGCGTCCGACACCAACGAGACAGGCCAATAGGTCATCTCGACATACTTGCACGCTGGGATGAGCGCAATCTCTAGTAGTGTGATTAGGGCAAGGCTGTGCGGCGCGCCTGCGTCTTCGAACAGCGGGCCTATAGCATCACCATCACTGAGCTTTACCATGACGTTTTGTCCATCATGACGGACACCCTCGAGAGACAGAACTGCGCAGTCAAATGTCCCGAAGCGGAAAGACGAGGATCCGCAAGTCTCAGTGGCAAAAGCGTCCGCGACAGTTGTAGCCTCCGAGCTAGCAATAACGGTCGGAATCAGCCTCTGCATCATCGTCCTTCGAACGAGCGCGCCCATGGTGACATTCGGCTCGACCGAAGCGGTAGATTCGTCTAGACGGATTTGTACTACCTGATTGAGGCCCGAGAGCTCACTAGAAGCACTACAGGGTACTTTCCGAGCGTGACTCGGGCCCGCTTGATCCCGAGTAGCTTGCTTCATCTTCTTGCATATAGCGGCAACGGCGTGTCGATGCTTTTTCCACGGCTCTTCATCGTACTCTAACGTATCGCATAGCATCTGTGACGGCTAGGCTTGCACGAGCAAGGACGCGACGAACCTGAGTACATATGCAGAGAGTGCACGGCAAGAGCGAGATAAGAATAAAGTCACTGAGCGAGTACACAATCATCTGCGGATTCACTCGCTCGAGCTGTTAACACTGCGGTAAGCTTCATCGAGGCCCTAGCGGAGCTTCGGATCTTTCGTTTATGATGACCATCGGAGAAGAGCACGATATGCTCCCACAGCGAGCACTATCCCGTCGCACAGCTACATTTGTACTCTGACCGCACGGTAAATCAGCGTTGGCGAGATCTTTACCCAGCGCATCTACCGGGGATCCGCCATTTCTTCGTGATGACACTCTCGTCAGCAGACCCATGTGCGATGAGAGAGTCCAAGTCTGCTCACTACTGCAGGCGTCGCACACCGACGCACAAGAGTATGACTCTTTACGTATGATGCCTTTACCCAAACGTTAGGCCTCGGAAATGCTCTGGCTTGGAAGCAGCCACTTCATCACCCGTCCAGACGAGTTCACAGAAATCTCCAATCCACCGTCAGTCACCATGCAACCACCACCCTCTCCTGTCTGCTTCCTCAAGATGCCTCCATCGTGGCAACATCTGCATGCTTGTATATCCACCGACACTCGGCGGCAAGAAGAGGTTGCAGATGACGGCAGGGAGAAGAGTACTTTGTCTCTATGGTACCTGCTCTGGCTCCCGCCCACCCGGAGAACGATCCTGGACAATATTTCCGCTTTCGAAGCCGCAAAGCTCGTCCACTTGAAGCTGTGCGTCCTGACTCCGAAGGAAAGAGAGCGATATCTCAAGCCGCTTCGGGATTTGGTGTGGAATGTGCCTGCGGTCGAAAGGCTTTCACGAGAGGGCATGAAACTGACGCTACTGGGAGACGGCGCTTACGCGCTCGAGCAGCGATTGCACGCGACGGAACGTTATCTGGATTCTCACGGGAACGGTAGGCTCGCAATCTACCTATTGGGCACTTTTCCAACATCAGCGCCGACAGCGACGACGCTTGACCCGCTAATCAACTTCAGCACTACGGGGCATTCCAGCCCTGTGCGATCTTACGGTGACAAATACCAACTGGGGCGCATGCGCGCTCTCACAGACACAGATGTAGAGAGTGTCTTTGTCATGAGTTTCAGTGCGCCAATGGGGGCGACTGTGAGTCCTGTAAAGGGATCATGATACAGGATAGACGACGTTCCAGATCACACGGTAGATTTGTGGGTGTATGTGCCTTCTTTCCGCGACCGGCTCCGTAAGGAGGTTAGGCTAACACCACGGGACATGCTACGGATAGTGAGAGCAAGTCCGCTGCCACGTGTCACGCTAGGAAGAACGTCCACTGTGAAGTACGTGAAAAGAAAGCTTCGCAGTGTAATTTTCGACGCTTTCGTGCGGACATTATGTCCTATATCCACTCTGAGCCAGCTGTTCGCTGTATGCACGGGACGCTATCGTTTGACGAAATGGTCATTGACAGCTGCGGGTTTACATTCTGCGGAAGCAACTCCCCTGGCGCAGCTTTTAGGCGACGAAAGTTTTGCGCGCCGGCTGCTCCCACACTTTGAAGTGCCTGCGTTCGGCGTTGGTTCAGGTTCACGCCCAGCGGTTAGGCCCACGCAAGCCCCGAACATACGACTTTTTCTCGACATAGCCAACTATAGCACCCTGAGTTGGGGTATCACAATCACCTAGACTGTGCATAGCAGCGGGCCGATGCTCGCATGACCTGAGACATCTGTTCCCCATCGGGGCAATTTCCCTTTACAAAACCCAAGCGGGCAGCGCGAGGGCTTTCGCTACAACGGTTGGAGACATCAAACATGACAACAGTGTAGTTACAGTGGTTGATTGCACCTTCCTAGGCTTTGATGTCTCTTCCAGACGTTGGGTAGCAAATGGGGTATACCAGCTACAGTGTCTCCAGTGAGTGTTTGCTTCTGCATTCTGCCTTCACAATCTCGAAATAATGAGCATCTTGGGAATGTATTGTTCGTTCGTCTGAGGTTGAGACGAGAGCAGTTGCCCAACCTGACTACAGCCATGTTCTTCATGTAGTTGTATAAACAGATTGACGAAGTAATTTGGCTATTGAGAAGCCGCTAGTGCCGGCTGTGGCTGATACAAATTCATGTGCAAGTGCCATTTGTGAGCGAATTCGTGTCGCAGGCCAAGAGTCGTCGTCAATATGAACTGTTCAATTAACAGGGTTGTGCGGTGACTTTTACATAAGCTGGGGTAGGATGCTAGAACAATACAGCATGCATTCTCTCTTGACTGCTCTCTCCACAGTAGTCGCACCTAACCTTGTAACGATCAGTCCAATGCAAAGTTGAATCGCGTTGCCCAGGCGCCCTGACCTATCTTCGTCCAAAGAACTACTGGCACCTCAACCCCTCATTGTAGAGTATTCTATACACGTTCGACACTTCCGTCGTGATTCAGCCATCGTCGGCTGTGTCCACGCTTTCATCGTCTCCACGTTTCCCATGTACTAACAAGACCATCCTTTTCCTATGCTTCCCGAAACACTTGATGCCGTTGTCGTCAGCTACGATATCGCCACTCCATGCATGGCCCTCGCAGTTCTCGCTTTTGCACATTGTAGTGTTCATCTTTCCACCTTTCTCCAGTAAATAACAACCATGCCGACACCCCTTTACCCCTTCACCGGCTCCGTCGTTGCCTTCCATATGGTTACACCGCAATCCAAGTGGGAGTCGCCAACTCTTAACTTTTACAGTCGAAGTTTCTCTGGATAGAAGGTGTGTTTGCTTGTAGCGATCGGTCTGCCTTTCGGCAAGTGAATTTGCGGCCTCATCTCGTGAAGTATGCTTTCGATACGTAGAGTGGGCACCAAGCGATATTCTGTGTATCCAAGAAGATGAACGCAGCGGGCGTAAGGCGACCAGGGTATAGAGCGTGGTATTGGTCTCCGTTACGCCGAGAGGATCGAAGTGACCATCTACGGGCATGATATGGAAGCTCGCACAGGTGAACAAAGTGTTGTGACCAGCCTTGACTAACTAAATGTGATTGATATAAGTGCTCCGAGGATGTCGATCATCCAAAAGTGCTGACGAGAGCTGCCAGGGTAGGGGTGTGTAGATGCTTACGTAGCGGAAATGACTATCCGAGACCGCTGTTCCGACGAGGATTTCAGCGTGTATGAATCACTTGTTTCAAGACGCCTTCTCCGTTGGTCATTAGACTGCACTTGATGCGAAGAACAAGATGTGGTGCTCAGACAGACGCTCACCACATCTTAGCCAAGTAACGTTGGGGTACATCGCGCGTGGTGGTATACTTGGGAACATCTTAATCATTCGATGTCTACTCGAAAACCCCTGATCGCTCACTTGTGTGGGCAGTTCAATGCGTTCGAGTCATATAAAGTGGCTCGCACGCACAGTACATCCGTTCTAGATCAGGCACTAGGGAGCTCCAGGACTCCCCATTCCACGTCGACTGAACGGTCAACATACTACGTTATAGACGACGAACTCTTCACGACACATACAGTGGAGACATTAATGAACACACTGACCAGACAAGACTTGCAAACGCACAGGAAATCAACATCCTACACGACCATGACTCCGAGCAAACCTTCACCGCTCGTGCACGCAAAAGACCGCCCCAAAACCACCGACGTCTCGGCAATGCAGCGCATGTTGGCCCGCTATACAGCTTCTTTGCCACAGAAACCCGGGAAGGCAATGCCACCTTCCTCTTCCCCGAAAACGCTCGCTATTGTGGGCTCGACTGGCTTTCTTGGACCGTATGTTGTTGCATCTCTGCTACGAGAGCATCCCGAGTGCAAGATCATCTGCTTCAACCGCAGCGATGATGGGGAGCAGCGCACTATGTCAGCGTTGCAGGACATAATGGGCGACACGTCCTCCGCGCGCCAACGTTTGGAATTTCTCATCACCGACATCGCAAGACGCGTCAGAGACCCGAACCACGATCCCATCGTAGACACAATACCTCAAGTGGAGGAGCTAGTTTTCAACTCTTGGGATCCTCACTGGGGCAAGCCTCTTAGCTCGTTTGAGTCCTTGTTGGAAGCGCTGCACAAAGTCGTGGACCTTCTCGCCTCTGCTGCCGGCCATCCTCGGATCACCTTTGTTTCTTCAATCTGTGCTGTAGGCAACTGGCCGCTGCGGCATCCCGACCGGCCCATGATTCCAGAAGAAGTGATGTGGGACTGCGACAGCGCAATGCCAAACGGGTACGGTCAGTCTAAGTGTGTTGCAGAGCAGCTGCTCGCCAAAGCGCATGAGATTGCAAAACTTCGCGTCAACATAGTGCGCGCGGGCCAGATTGGCGGGTCGACGAACTCAAAGCATTGCACATGGCCGCGGCAGGGTTGGGTCTATTCCGTCATTCAATCATCGGCGAAGCTTGGTGTGTTCCCAAAGCACGTTCAACCTTTGGATTGGATCCCCGTGGACGCGCTTGCGCAAGGCATAGCCAACTGTATCAAGCGCCCACCCACGCCAGGCGGTTTGCAAGTCTTCAACATGGTACATACCCATCCCGCTGCCTGGAGTGTGTTACATGAAGCGTTACGAACTAGGTTTGGAATTCCGACTCAGGCTGTTGATCTGCCAGACTGGCTGGAGAGAATGGAGCAGGACGACTTGAGAATACATGGCTTTCTGAGTACACAGGGGAGCGGCAGAGAGGCGAATATGGCATTCGAGAACACTCGCGCACTGGAGGTATTGCCCCCAATGAGTTCAATCAACAAAGATTTGTTAGCGACGTGGCTGCGAGGATGGGAGCTTGGGTCGAGAGCGAAGATGTAAGGGTTGCTTAGGATACATAACTTGCTACATGCCGGCATTCTATGCAGTCCCCTATTGACAGCCTCTGCCTACGTCGAAATCACTGATGCTAGATTGCTAGCGGGATCGCAGGCTCTTACCCCCACGCATGCACGCTGTGAAAGGAGCCCGCGATTCGTTTTGCACCAGACACAACTCTGACGCCCGCATCGGTTCTGGATGTTCCAAATCCGCTCACCCACGGCGACCATCCACGCCTTCCATCCTAGGCACAAGCGTAGGCTACTCCGCAGCAAAGGCGCTTCCACTGCAGCTCGACCCGCTGCTACCGTTCGCACTGTTTCCGCTGTCAGTTCTCCAAGCCAGCATTGCACACCCTCGGAGAACCCTCCAACCCATTGCGTCCATTCGCCATGTACCACAACTTCCATGTGTGCAGGTTGCGATCGTAACCAGTTTGGTACTCTGTCGTTGGAAACTCTGCACGCCAGCCAGCAGTAGCACTCGTCCCGCGTACCTTTGCCCAGCGACCATTCTACAGCGCCCCCGTTGTACTGCACCGTGCAACGCACCGATACGGCATGCCTACGCAGCACTGATATCGTCAGCTGAACTGCCGTCGCAATAGAAAGTCGTGCACTCACTGTCTGCATGCTCCGCCACGAACGCGACCTCTTCCTCGTCCCCTGCAAAGTGCCAGAACCAGCTCTTCGACGGTTGCAAGGACAGCCACTCGGCAAAAAGTGTGTCAAACTTCACGCCCCAACCTCTGCTTTCCCGCTGAAACTGACACCACTCTCCAATGGTTGCGTTCCGGCCCATGCCCCGTGCCACCGCCAGCTGCAGCTCCGCTGGTAGCCTTACAGCTCTAATGTCTAGTGACATTGGCAGAGCTTTCTGGAATCTATAGCTGGTCGCAGAATGCGTGTTGAGAGCAGGCCTGAACGTAGGACTTTGTATCGAGAATAAATCATCGCCTACTGAGGTGCAGCTTGTGATCATCGACGCTCTCCGTCAAATCTAATCCGCACGTGGGAGATAGGAGCAAGAATCCGAGACTCGGATCGTTTTTCAGATGCTTATCTGGGTTCTCACTTAGGCCAGCTGACGGTATTTGCCGTTGAGATAGTCTTCGTAAGGCACCTCATTATGCGCGAGAGACATTCGTGACTTCTCACCATATTGCACTTCCTAGCTCCTTCCCGCAAAACGTGGAAAAGGGTGAATGTCGAAGTATGCATGGAGACGATCGTCGCGCACGGCCAAGCCTATTTTGTCTGTGCGTCTGAATTACGCTAAGCAGCTTATTGGAGTCATCGGCTTACGGAATCCAAAGCTGTTTAACCTCCCTCCCCACGTAATGGACAACCCAGTGGGCCGAGACCAGCCGAAGAGAGTGCACGGACAACCGATATTTCGACGGGGCGCAGTGTCTCATTGGCTGGTCTCGGCCCACCGGGTTGTTCGCTGTGTGGGGACGGAGGTTATCGCTTGTGTACTCACGGTAGGCATACAGCGCAACCCAATAAGGCCGACGAGCAACACATATTTCCTCTTCCAGTGCTCGATACTCAAGATGCACCACGAGGCTAGACCCAGAAGAAAAGACAAAAGAACTTCACATAAGCCAACCGGGTATATGTCACCAGCACATAGCGCGCGCCTCGGTGTATCCACCACAAGGCGACGCCAGAACACCAGCGTATGGACACAAGCCCCGGTCCCATAGACGATGCGTACGCCGAGGGAACTATGTGCGGATAGAGGAATGTCTCACGGTCATAGTAGGGCCGGGCGAAGGGTACAAACGATCGCTTCGACTCGGTGTAGCTCTGACTGGCTTGTGACCAGCTGCCATGTAGCTCCGCTTCGCTACCCATGTACCATACTTCCGGGAGCGACTGCAGCCCAGCATTGAACTGACAGCTGTCGAATAGCTCTTTCATGGTGCAAGCGGACACATAGTTGGACTTGTTAGCACCGCTGTTGTTTTGGGAACCACATGCGAGAATCAGGATGTCGGTATCGATCAAGATGAACTTCAATCTGGGGCAGTCGCCGAGACTCCACTCGATATCATAACATAGAGGCGGGATGCTCTTCACCGACTGAAAGGAAAGCTGTCTCACGAGAGCCTGGCCAAGAGCACCCTGAGAGCCGTTCACGGCCACACGCCGCCCTCAGAGTGTGCCTACAGTGCCAAAAAGCCAGTCCACTAGTTGAACGAGGTACCCGAAGTTGCTGTGAGGGTAGACGTAGTGCATGGCATGGTACTGAGGGCCGACGACGAGAAGATAAGGATCTTTCGATACTCGGCAGTACGGAAGATGGTTTGAATCGCGTCCCGAATCGCGTGCCACGAGGCCTACCCGGGCTATCTGCAGAGCCCATACGAGTGTTAGATGGTATGGTAATGGAACCGCGGTACGCCAAAAGGTCAGCTCCACAAACAGCCAGCTCAGAGTGCTTCCCACCAACTGGCACAGCCACTCGAGTGGAAGATGCCACAAAAGATTCTGCATGCGAGAGGCGTCGTTGAACCGTAGGTTCCGGTGGAAATACTGGTGATGGAAGGCATGAGCACGCGCTAGACATCGTAGGACACGGATACGCGATGCGTGTGATCTGTGAGCGAGCAGGTGTACAAGATCAAAGACAAGAGACCCAGAGATGAGGTGGAGCGCATAGAGGGAAATGCAGCCTGCACAGTCCCAGAGGAGCTCTGTCCCATGGATGGATACAGGTACGCTTGAGAACGCAGCTTGCTCTCGCACAGAGCAAAACAGACGGTGATGGCCAGACGGGCGTGTGGGTTGCAAACGAGAGCGTTAATCGGGCGAAGCTGGAAGTGGACGCTCGACCCTCAATATCGACACTCTCCGTCTTTTCCGTAGTGCTACGTGGGAAGTTTCATGCAGACTAGCTACCGCAGTGTTGCTTATTGGTGATGCTTCTGGTAAGTTGATGCTACGGAGTAATAAACACATACGTATGACAATGTAGGTTCTGCACATTCCCTTGTCGAGTTTCCAGATCCGCATGTATCCGTCGATATGCCCCTTCGAAGGCCTCGTGCGAAACAAGCGCGAGATGCACTACTTCGCACCCACATCTCCTACAGACTGTTCGTGTCCTGATGTCGTAGCATGGAGTGGCCTGACATGGTTATGATCGTACATCCGCGCTTCCGGTGCGCTCCATTGTTTCGGTGGCTGTGAAGCAATAGCTGGAGTCTGTGGCGTGCTGATCTCTAACGTCGACTCACGCACCCACTGCTGTGATATCTGTCCTGCACTTGTCTGTTCAGCTCTCAGTCTGCGAAGCTCTCGTTCGTAATAAGAGAGTACCTGTTTGCGATTCGTCAGCAGCCCATTGCTTAAGTCTGCATGACCTACCTTCTGTGGACACCTCATGTACAGCGTCTTCACTGGGTACGTGACGACTTCCAAGTCGCGCCAGGTCACTCTACCCTTCAATCCACTACCATCTTCGTAGATCTCGTCTATCCTGGGCTGGCCTTTTTCCCAGGTACTCATATGCGCCCTCTTCAACACTTCTTTCGGGCGACCTTCAGGCAGGCGCCCTCTGCGTCTCTGTACACCTCCCACGCGTTAGCGGACTCCAAAACCGACTGTAGGTGATCTTACTTTTCGGCATGTTCTCTGTAACTCGAGGCTTTTGGTACACTATGATGACAAGGGCTTGACCCCCAGGTACTTGTCACGCTCTGTGTATGCGTGTGTGTGGTTTGTGTGGTGGGTAGCGTGAAGCATCTACCTCTCAGATCAGAAGGGAAATGTAGCATTGCCTGTGGTTCATAAAAAAACGTACGAATGCTTTAGAACATGACGTGCTTGGCACGTGGTGTATGAATGATCCTAATGACGGTCGCATTTGTACATCTGCAATTCAGTGAGTTTCTCTTCAGTTTCTGACCGGAAATCACTCCGTGAGTTGAGACTTCTCTGCGACGAACAGTCTGACGCGGCCATCTACACAGCAAAACGAGGCGGTAAGCCTATTACCCAGACTGCCTACATGGTGACGACGAAACCTGGACAAGGTATGCAATTCCGAGCCGTGTCTCTTGCGAGATGAGACTGATACCTCGTCCCCTGACAAGGGCAATGGCGATGCCTCCGTAGTTGGGGCAAGTTCAAGTACGTTTGGTGGTCAGGCTTTCCCACCCAAAGACTGTCTGCTTACTGACTGTAACGACAAGCTTTGCCTAATGCAAAAGGAAGCCAGTCCGCACGGTCAGTTGGGAGACGGAATAACGCCCATTCGGAACACTCTCGCATTAGCTTGTGCGATGGATGGGCACAAGCATTATAATGGTATCGCTGGAGGCTTGGCTTCTGCGTCTACGGCCGGATCCCAGAAGTAGGCACCAAAGAGCCCAATGCCTGCGGACTGTCATCACCCCCGGCAGAGTGCGCGCTTAGGCTTCTTGTACAGACAATTACAATTGCTCCTTGCCCAGATCTGCAGGACTAATGTGCGCTGCCGTCGCAATGGATAGGTAAGTTGAACTCATGCGGGAAATATGGAGTCCAAGTCTCTGATGTGACAGCTAGACCAACCTCCACCTGGCTTCTGGTTCGCCTGGCAGTGGTCTGCTCCGAGGAAGCGTACAATGCTACAGTCGTGTCCAGCGCATGGCGACGCACTGCGCCCAGGAGAGCTCTTATTAGCCAACGACCGGTTCTTTCCCATGGCGAAGTCGTTGTGGTGGCTCTCTCTGGTACCAAGGGTTTCAGAGACTGGATGGTGAACCTTAACAACCGTGCTTGTAGTCCAAAGGATGTACTCGTCTGTGGCCGAGTCTTGCCGTAAGCTGTATGTACGCTGATAGTATCTAGGGACAGCAGAATCCATGCCACGCAGGATTTTTGGAAGCTTCAAAATCGCTCATCGACCCGCTAGCAGCTTCTCTGGCCGAGTTCGAGGACAGTTCAACGCTCATATTCACAGGCCACTCCGCGGGAGCCGCCACGGCGAGCCTCTTATATGCACATGTCCTTTCCAAAGCAACTTCTCAGCTGGCCACCGTCGCCAAAGGTTTTCCAAATGTACATTGCATTTTATTCGGATGCCCCCCGATATCCGTCCATCCGTTGCAGCACCATACGCGGGAAGACGAACGTTCTTCCAACTCCCTATTCCTGTCTTTCCTGAACGATGGCGATCCCATCATCAAGGCAGATGCAGGATACCTCGTGCGAAGGTTGGGGTGGCCCATATCTACTCCATCAGATGCATGCTCTTCTGGAGCAGACTGGCAGGGCAAGGGAACAGCACCAATTACGGGCCTCGCAGCGAAGCCGCCAAACCGGTTTTTTGTACACTCGGGCAGCACCTTCTTATTGGCACTGGACATTGATTCCCCTTTGGCAACAATTATCAAGGAAGTCAGTAACGACGAGCTGGATGAGGAAGCGGCAATGTCGTGGCGAGTACACGGTATCAGCGTCTACAGAGCAAGAATAGAGTCTTGCCAGGCTGGCCACGACTATGTCGGCAATAATGTCCGTTGTCCGGACACCAATGACAATCATAAAGACGATATCAGTACGAGGATGTGCGTGAAAGAATGGGTCCATTGGCTACCAATAATGTTTCTCTAGACGCCGGCTGCTGATGTTCGGTGACCCTCCAGCTACCGGACATATAGATCATTTTTACGATAAGAGCGACCGCGACATGGAGATGAGGCTCTATGCAGATAGAGACCGGGAATGTAGCAATCGTTGTCAAAGGTTTCGCCCAAGGGCTCGTCGTCAGATCAAGCATGAGATCCAAGGCAGCGACTTCAATGAGAGAGAGAGTTGTATCGATCAACACAGCTGTATACAGCGAATGCAAGGTTTTTGGGAAATACACTTGCATTGAGATCATCATACTGAGTTATTTGACCGCGTTGAGTTGCCCTGCCCGAGCATCAACACTACTCCTCCATATTGACAGACGTCGTAACACAAGCCTGCTTGCTTGCGGTAACTCTGAAACAGTTTCAGCACTGATTGAGCAGTTTGCCCTCTCAACGTGTGAAACTGACGTCATGTACCTTTATCAAATAGCAGGTGATGCATGAACAGTTACGTATAAAATGACGACATTCACGGGACAGGAAAGCGCTAGTCATCGTGCCTACATCTACGCGAGAGCAGAGGAAATTACCAAGTGCATCTTTCCACGTTCTCTGAGATACTAACGGTGAGGTAAGTCAGATGGAAGTGTATTATTTCGAAGCGATCGACGACTCACCGCAGCGAAACGGCCAGCAGCCTTCTAGCGTACACCGTGGATTGATATCACTCATCCAGCTATCTCGCTTACCTGCAGACACACGGAGAAAATTCCTCGAGGCCTATGCAAGACATTGCAGGCAGGGCGGCCTTCGATGAGTCCGATTTACGCCATGCTTCTGCCGATAGACAACGACCTGGCCAGGCTTACGGACAAAAGGCTGCCCTATCGCCATGAGCACTTTGCAAAAGCCCTTGTTCTTCGCCGGAGTGGTCGTATTTCACAAAATCATCATGATGACTAGAGAGCACGATGAGGGATTATTTCGGGTCGTGCAGTACGTGGTGCTCCAAGAAGGTCCTCTGCATGCAGAACCTGGAAAACGTCAGCAGCAATCGACGCGCGTGTTCGACTGCTGGTGAACTGTGGCCAGCCGCAGAGGAGAGAGCGTAATGACATAACGTCGATGGTCAACGAAGCGTCGACGAGAACGGGTGATGTAATCTAGTAATATCAGTAAGCCTCGTACAGCCTCTCAGCATCGCAAAGCAGGATATCCAAGACTGAGCGTGACAGCCACTATTAAGTAGCGCTACGGCTGTCCTTGGAGAGGCGAAGCCATACGCAGGTGGCTGGGCGTCTAGCGACTCGTCTTCGAACATGACGGATCCATCATCTTCGGCACTAGAGTCCAACAAAACCACAACCAAGGACAGTACAGTACTCGAACGTGACACGATGATGCCCTTGCTAGCCACGTGGCTAAAGGATGCTCCATCGAACAATCAGTAATGCCCATACCATCCCTACTGATATAAGCTAAGAAATCACAGTAATCTTAGAGTTCCTGTAGCGCAACTGTTCGCCAAGTTGCAGAAGACCTACGCGACCGTGGGTAGCACAGCAGCCCAAGCGACAGAGTACACGCACGCAGAACGCGCTCGAGACAAAGGCCATCCACGTCCGCGCCAGCACGACCAGGGTTCCGGTAGCCCTGCCTCGGGCCGGGTAAATCACTCGCCCGTGCTATCGCCAACCTCTGGAGAGTTTCGAAACTGGCTTACTGCAGCGCATCGCGAACGCGCTTCTCCACCAAACATCGTCGGTGTGACGAGCGAAGAGCCAGAAACACCTGCCTCAGATGAGACATACGAGCCATCGGATGAGTTACCGGATTACGCGACGCCAGTTGGAACGATCATACCTAGGATTGAAGTGGATTCACTTGATTCCTCTACAACCCCCAGCTCTCTCAACTCGGAGACGCCCGAGGGGCCTGTTCGGGGGTGCCAGATAGACGCACCGCACTGGGTTAGACACGCAAGCGCACGATCATCGTCATCGCTGTAGACAGGCGCCGTAGATGGAGCTGGGTGCAGAGAGCTGTGGAAGTCTACACGGCGCAGTCATATGGTTCCGAGATCTGTCTACAAGGGACGCAACTGATAGAGAGGATACAGCTTGTTCGCATGAATCGCTTAGACTATCTAGCTCTATATACTGTAGCTTTTAGCTTCTCGCTACGCCGTAATGCTCAAGATGTAACGCAGCAGCTACTTTTGTATACTCTGTGCTTGGTTGAACCGACCTTTGGCGCTGCATGGACATGTCAGCAATGCGAAGGTAACTGCTTCTTCGGCGACAATTAGATATAACGCGTTGACAATAATCAAGAGCTGAGCTTCACGAGTGAATTCCACAACCTTTGTTGAACGTCGGCAAGTCCATCAGGCAAAAGCAGCACCTGCATACACCCATTGGCACTATCGAACCAAGAACGATTCTTTATGCTATGGGTCTGCTGTGCTACGCCATTGTTCGACCACCGTTTTCGTTATGGGAGAAAGACGAGTCGAGACTCTGTTCTGAGCTTTTGGCAGGAGGCGAGCATCACTGTACATCAGGAAGTAGAGGTAGAGGTGTTGCATGTTTTGCTCCAAACAATCGCGTAGCACGAGCAGTATTTATGCGTCTTGCTACATCCTTTTGAGTAGAATCTTCATGTAACCTTCCTTCTTCGCACACTCCCGTGGAAAACTTCCCGTTTTGCCTACGTCGTGGACGAGCCCCTTGAACGAGTCGAAGCACCTCACCGCGACGTCCGGATTTCGGTGGTGATCCACAAGGCTATAGAGGTTCACGAATCGGGGCTTGAGGGCCTGAAATCGGTCAGGGCTTTAACTACGATAACATCACCCTACATGGCGTCTGCCATGTCAGGGTGATTAAGCAAGGTTCTGGGGCTTACCTTTTTGCATTTTGTTATGGACTTTAGCTCGTTGGACTCGGGCTCGCTGCCAATTCCAAGCTCCTGGCACAAGCGTTGCCAGCGAACTAATCCGATTGACTCGTCTCCATAAAAGTCGATCTCAGCGTTCAACGCCTTCACAAGATACTCGCGCTTCTTCTTTTTGCTCCATTTCATATGGTTGGCCAAGCGCCTGAACTCGTCTAAGAAGAGCGCTGCTGGATCAGGAGAAAAGAGTAAAAACTCATTCCAGAAAGGGCAAAGCTTGATGCTTCCATCTGTCGACGCACGCTCAGATGTGTCGCCAACATCTGCAGACATGTCGAAATTGCGGTATACTGCGACGGTCAGCTTCCTGTAGATGGGTTCTGTTCAAAACCATGGAAATTCTCCATTTTGACTTACCTTGGGTGAGGTCCGTGTTCGGTATGGAGAAAGGGTATGTGTACTGACAGGTGGAGTGGGACTTCACACCTCATGTAAATGTACTGATTCCCGAGAGGAATTGGAACACAACATGAGCTGGTGTTCATGCGCTGTCGAAGATTGAGATATGAAGAACGTGGAAGCTCCTTGGTCAGTGAGACAATCCAATCTGGTCTTCCCCTTATGTCGTGCCATATGCCAAACTTACGACGGCCGACGCTGCATCTTGCGCACATCGTATCCCATGCCTGTAGACTACCGCAAGCTGCTTACAAAGCCGGGAGCGACCGAGGGTACCGTACGGTCAGGAAGCTGAGTTGCCTTGTGGGTCGTGAAAGCGTGTCAACCGGGGTATGTGGCTGCAGAGATGCAGACGAACATTTCTCTCCTTGATCATACCAGCGCAGAACGTTGTGCTAGCCAGCATAAGCGGTTTCAGCGTGTACGCAATGCTGAATTGAGAACCGAGGTGGGCGATGCTTTTTGATCAACCAGCCTTACACTTCCCATTCGGTCTCGTCTTGTGTTGCAGTCACAGGCAATACGAGCGCGATACAGTAGATTCAATCACGGAAGAATGGATCGACAGTTCATTGCGCAAGGGACTTGGTTGGAAAAGATTTTGTCGACGGCTATGATGCATCCCCACCTTCCCTCTCGTCCACCATCTCTGTTCGTACAATGCTGCTCGAATATCCAGTATTGATGCCCGAACGGACACAAATGCTAGCTGTGCAGGGCTCAGCCTTCCCTCTGCGTAGCAGACTTCTGTTGTTCCCCTCAAATCCCGATGCGTAGATCACCAATCTGTTTCTCGATCTCAATTCATTGCCTGTGGAAAAACTGTCGTGTCACCGACGAATAGCTCGCGACGGCCTGCTGAACCACACCGAGGGAATTTCTGCCTCTCTTTCGACTATCGAGAACAATGGGTGCTACGGCTCCGAGAACGATGGACGGCCAGCACGAGTTGAAGCGCTCTAGATAGTGTTGGCCTATCCGCGCGCGTTCTTGGTCGCTCGGTCGTCGCAGGGCTGGCAGCAAACGGATTTTGTCCAGCCTTCGCCAGAAAGGTGCTAGCAAAGTGGGAACCAGGAGTAGAGGATTTGACATGGATATCAACGTTGCGGATGAGCTCGCCTGCATGTACGCCAATACCCGGTACTTCCTCGGCCAAAGAAGCCTCGATTTCGGCTGCACTGCTATCAAGTGGTTTCATGCCCAATGTGTAGTTTGCGTAAAACGTCTGCAACAGTTCATGGACGAAGCCCTCTTCCACTTGATCGCTTGGATATTCTCGTATAATGTTATGGTGATCATGGTCCCGGCTCAGTTCCCAGTATCTTTTGTCTCTCAGTTCACGCGGGAAGAGTTCGTGTAAGCGAGCGCATAGCCTCTCGCAGCAGGACTTGCATGCCACAGACGCCTATCGAGGCAGCGATACAAGCAAGAACGTTGGGCCGAGGGCTCGAATCCACGTCAATGTATGTTGGAGGCAAGCGAAAGATGTGCCTTGAGTCGCGAAGTCTCCTCTGGGCGGTAAGCCGCTCCAGCAAGTGTCTGACAGGCGCAGCTGAAATGATCGAGACCGTGCAGCCGGACGTCGGTTCGTTCGCCGAAATCTGACCATGATCGGGCGACACCCTTCTGAGATACTCCTATGAGCCTCGCGAGAGGTGAGCAATCTTTGACCTAGGCATATCGCTTACGACGTTGGCGAGCAACATGACTCCGGGGACTCTCTGCTAGAAAATCTTTGATCTTGGCCCATGCTTCTCAGCGATACACAATGTTGGCACTGCACTTGGAGCTGACTGTAATGGTCGCCACGATTTTTCTTTCACGTAGGGGCAGGGCTGGACCTATGTCAGATGAAAGGCTCGGATGGAATGCGTGCCTACGCCCTTCCACCGCTTCTACAACCAGCTGTTATTTAAAGCCTTTCGGCCATGGTGTCAGGTAATCAGCAGCCCTACCTTCTCGCGAAAGATACTCACTCGACGCCCAATCCACGCCGATGACGTCGACCACCCACCCGTTTAAAATGATTGTATTCGTTGACATACCCGATCCCGACAACATTCTCACGATCCTCTACGTTCTTGCGGTTTCCAAAAGGACAAGTCGCAATCGTACTCTCGCCTCGGATTGTGGATCTGAGCGTCGTGGGCTACGATGAGAAGTTCTTTGAGATGAGAAAGAAGTTGGGCTTTAAAATCATGCCTGACCAAATCAGGCGAGATAACCCGCCGCAAGTCCCCGAGGAATGGGAAAAGTTCTTTAAACCCGATGCTACTCTTTCGGATTCGAAAGTCACGATGGACACTCGCCTATGCGTGCATGTCTCGAAGCTGCGTATCAAAGAGTGCATAGAAGAACAATTTCCGGACCGCAAGGACTACGAGATCTTCTGGGATCCGAACTCTCTGTCCAAGATCAAGGAATCAGACATGCGTCACACACTTGATGCAGCTGACTACGCGTTCAACTTTGATGATAACGAGCGGAAGGTATATGAAGGCATCGCAATCATACCCAGAGCGGGTTTCAACAGCGAAAGGCCCTCCGCGCTCTGATTAAGCAATACATCGCTCGAAAAATGGGGGAGATGGGTCTCAATTCATCCAAACCCGAGCCGACTGACATCAATGATCTTTTCGAAGCCAATGACAAGGTCAAAAACGCGAGACCAATCATTGGGCGACCACTCACTGAGGTTCTGCAATACATCGCGAATACAGAAGGCCCACCAAGAATTGTGTACGCAATGCTTGGTACTCGCACCAACGATCGCAACATGCCGGGCAGGCCTCACTTCAACGTGGCAAAGGACGCGGAGTCCGCGAACGCTTTCTTGAAGAAGATCTTCGACGAACGGACACAGATGTTAGTCGTACCCACAGAATGTTGCAAAGGAAAAGATGAGAAAGACCCATGTCCATACGTACCTGAGCGCTGTCGATACAAAGAACTATCGGAGAAAAGCCCCTCGATGTCTAGAATAGTCCCGTGGTGGAGCGAAGAGACGGGACAAGAGACCCACTATCACGCATTCGACTGGATAACCGCAACTGTAGTGACAAGGCAGGACATTTTCAAGTGGGTTCCGGTCAAGCATAAAGCATGTCTATCGGGAAAAAGCGTAACGAATATCAAACTCGCCAAAAGCACACAGCCCTCGACTATTTTCATGGCCAAACCCGACTACAGGTACGTGGACAGAAAAAGCCTGTTCTATGGGTGGAGCTGGAGAGAACTTTCCCAAGAGATGGAGGCCTACGCATTGGAAAGCGAAGACAGCTAACGGGGGCCTCCTGTGTTGTCGACGGACATGCTTGGAAAGGTGTGACTCATCGAACATGGTACCTCTCAAGTCGGGTTATCTCAGTGTTTCCGGGAATGATTGTCAACAGGGCAGGAGAGAACAAAAGGGGATGCCGAGTGCTGCTATCTGGGCGCCTACTCGACAAAATCAGTGAATACCCAACCTTGCTCGCGAGTTTGTACGAAACTCTCGCGATCGGCATGAGGGGTGACTCCTGCACGTTTAGAGGCATGTGTACGCGTAGACAAACCAAAAACCTGTTGAGAATTACAATAGCCAGCTCCCATGATAATTCTACAAGCATGAGATCAGCTCCGCAGTGCGACCATGCTGACACCTGTGCGCGCCGGCTGCGTGAGACGAGCCAGCGTTAGCAAACTGATATCTGTTCACCAGAGACATCCAACCCTGTCGAACACTGGGCTTTTCCTCTGCGTCTTCGGCGGAGCAGAAGCAAGGCGATGCACATTGGGTGCCAAGTTAGCTTATGTATCACTCTCGCTGTATGTGTGCCGTACGTCCAACGTGATGAGCACGATACTGCCAAGTGCACTGTGTGGCGGAAGGCCAGGGCAGATGCACACGAAGGCAGCCTCAAGTGAGCGCCTGCTGATGTAGGAAGTCGTTGGCGAACTTAGAGAAACTCGTCGACTGGTTGCTATGTGTCCTTCGAATATGAAAACATTGCACGTCTACTTCTGGGTGCGGTTTACCGTGTCTAGACACAACCTGAGATGACAGAACAGCACACGACCCCGCCTTTTCTCCCTCACTCCAGTGCTGCCGAGTCCGAGGCTCATGTATTTATCGACCCAGAAGCCATGGTCGGCGTGAACGATGCCTGGCAGTTTGCTGACGTAGACTGGGAGCGTAGCTTGCAAGGCCGACCTGAAGATGTGGTCCACTATGGCTTAGCCATCCTGCCGTACGAAGAGCTGTGCTCTTTGGCGATCGAGAAAGCGTCCCCGAGAGCGTGGCCCATGCGCGAGCTGCAGAGACATCTGAGCGTTTCACTAAGGCGCGACCTATACTCGAGATACGCAGATGGCGCTTCACTGGAGAGCCTCGACCTGTACTTGGGATACGCAGATGGATTCTCGATTCACTTTTGTCTCGCACTGGAGAATTGCTGCGCCAATCTTCGACAGCGAATTCGTCGCGATGAAGACGACAGAAGAGAGGAGGTGTTATGGGTGTATGCACCACGGCAGATGGAGCTGCCCTGCATTAGGCGACTTCCTCGCAGCATCACCGACCCCATAAAGGCTATCCTTGGAATGCTGCGCGAGTATCCTAGCCCGAGAAGACGTGATACCTTTGAAGAGGACACAAGACTGTGGGTCGCGAATCGAGTCGATCTTCGCCAGCCAGAGCAGACTAGAAAAGGCGTGGCGAATGCAGGACAAACACTTAGCCTCGGTGCACTGACTGAGGCCTGGAGAAGAGAAGGGTACCACGAACACCTGCTGCGAAGATACGTCTGGTACAGGATGATCAAGCAAGCCCCATCCCGGCAGGACGAGGTCGATCTCTTTGTCAGTCAGCTGTTCGACAAGCCGTGGGAAACACGGCACTGGATCCCAACAACCGACAAGAACGATGAGTCTGACCTCCGCATCCATCGCGCGAAAAAGCTCAACGGGGGAAAGACATAGTCGATGTTGGCTACGGGCTGCAATAGAGGCGTTCCGTGCGCCATGCGCCACCCCAACGCACACTGGAGATTGCATAGGCGTACCGGTAACCCCATAGAGGCGCATTTCGGCCTTTGTCAGGAACAACATGGATGGATTCGATCCAGAGCTATAGCAGTCCAGGTTGGGCCGCGAGGGCAATGGTTTAGTGAGAAGATTGCGAGGATTCAAGTCCCCATCTCTGCTAGCGTGCTAAGCGCATGAGGGCGTTCCTGTAACAGCACCTCCACCTGCTTGATTCATGTTCATCGTCGCACAAAGACATGTCCTGCAGATGATTGCAAGCTATTTGGCCGGTAGTGGTGCAAAGTTTAGATAGTCGATATATCCAGGATGTAATCTTGGCAAGAGCACGCGCGGGCGATGACCTGCCAGGGCAATCTTGACGTGTGAGGTTCCACTTAGGTCCTGACTCGGTAGAGCCCCGCATGTAGCCATTCTCAGTTAGCGCCGGACACAAGACGCCGACACTTGCACCGGCACTGTTGGCCGGCACCCGGCAATCAGGGTTAGCCCACCGCCTTTGTCGTGCAGAGAGAATCCTGGATGCAGCAGCGTCTACGATAGAAGCGAAGTAGTGCTCTAGGGTGCACGACTTAGCTGTCATCGTAATGCCCAAAGCTTGTCATGGGGGCCGGAGGCAACACGGTGTGGGCCAGGATATTGCGATCCGAGGATGACCGTAAACATTTTGGAGGATCATGCGGCACAGCGCAGGGCTACGCCGCAGCAACCACGCCGCAGTCTGGCAGACGCTCGACGGTAAGCAGCTTACAATCGAGTGAGCAGGGGGCGTTTGGCCCGAGCGAAAGAGAGTTTATCGGTCCATGCAGCAAAGACACCGAGCAGCCTTTCATGGCTACAGTGTCGTCCTTGACCGTATCGTGCCGTGTTGATCCGCATATATGCTTGTCGATGCATTCGCATTACGTCGCATCTCTGGAGAACAACTTCAGAATAGGCTACGAAGGCAGCGTCCCGTCAGCGTTCTGAGGGTGGGACTGGGGAGAAGCTTGCCTGAACCTGCTTCTACGCTTCCATGGGAATGGGCTGTACACAACTGCTCATGCGCGTGGGGATTCGAGAGAACGCGAGACTTTCACCCATGAACGCAATCACCGTGCGACCCAAGATGGTCAGCACACGGGCCGTTGCACGTAGGATCAGCGGCCATGTCGCCTGCTGTAAACATGATGCCGAGTGCCCGACACTTTGTTGGGGGCCGCACAGGCTACTGGCCACAATTCTCGTTAGGTGGCGGGCCCAGGGCTAAGGCGCTTCCAGATTGTGTCCGGGTTTTCTCCGAGCGTCTCGGAGAAATGGACGTACAGTGGTGGCCGCCATTTTATGTAACGTGCATCGCCCGTAGGCGAGAAATGCCCCTCAGCGAGATGAATCCAGCTTCAATCCAAACCAATCCTCACCACATTCGCTTGTCGGCTTGCAGCGTATGCGCTCTTGTTCTTCAGGCATTTCTCTATCGCCCTACATCTTGTGATAGTCGAAACGCAGTGGTCGTGATCGCAACGACAGCCATGTCGCACGCGCTGCGCTAAGAGCCACTTTGGTTTTCACCGCCGCTCGATCACTGCCAACCCCATGTTCCGCAATCTGCAACTGCTATGGCGATGGATGTGACCGGGATGCACATTGTCCCTGATCTTCAAGATGCTTGAGCTCAGAGAACATGTACTCCGAGCTTATCTCTGTGTCAAACGGACCTCCGCGTGGCGTTACAGCTTGACTCCAACCATCCTCTTTTCTCTGCTGCAATGTGGCAGTAGAGACAAAAGTGTCTAAAATGTAGATGCACTGTCATTTCAGATCTCTACAAGTGTATGGGGAGGGGATCAGGTGCCTGTCGAGTTGGCTCATCTCGCTGGGCGGCGTTTCTCGCTTACGGGCGATGCACGTTAGGCTGCGTGTAGTTTCTCTCTTGCGTTCAGACGGATGTGAGGCGAGGCGACATGTCCTACGCTT